GGCCTGGCGGCGAATCTTAGGTTGATTGTCCGGCGATTCGGGGACTTTAGAAGTCACCACGGAAGGTTGAGCATCGGGAGTAAGCTCAGGTTCCTTCTTATCGGCAACAGGCTCCACATCAGATTTCGGGACCTCTACATTGGCCTTGGTAATCTCTGCAGCTGGCGCCAGCGGTACAGGCTTCTTCTTCAACGTGGTGTTGGCTGCCGGGCGGATAGGAAGCTCCTGGGCTGCTCTCGCTCGATCCTCCAGGGCAGCACGAGCTGCTGCAACAGCCGAGCCTCCAGCGGGAGCGATCTTCACTGGTGGCTTAGGTTCAGGCTCGCTCTTCTTTTTGATCGTGCCGAACATGTTCTTGAATCCGGTGTTGCCCGTCTTCTTCTTGAGCTTCTGCCTGGATTCATCTGAATCCATTGATTGCTTGGGAAGAGATTCTGTCGTCGAGAGTTCAGCCGCAGCACTGGTGCTACCATTCCGACTAGCGTTGGAAGTAGGGTCGCTAGCAGGGATCTCTTTTCTGGGTACTGTGGGTTTGGGGGAGCTGGCCGGGGTGTCCTTCGGCAGAGGCTGGGGTGCCTGACGGGCGGTGCTCGGGGCTAGCGATGTTGGAGTGCTGGGCTGGTCATCTGTCGATTCTTTCACGTCGTCTGCCAAAGAGCCTGTGCCCGCACGGCTGTTGCTCAGGTAGGCGCTGCGGTAAGTATTCTTGTCATAATTGGTCGCCCATTTCATAGCCTGGGATGCCTCATTCATGATCGACGGCTGCAAAGTCATGATGGAGTTCGTCTTGGTGGAATACCGCGCATCTTGGGGAACATTGGTTCTGGCGTTGGCAGCTTCTTGTTCCTCACGGTGTCGCTTTTGAAGAGCAGCGGCAGCCGCCTGGATGCGGGCATGCTGATCCGGAGCGATACTAGTCTTACTTGTTGGTGCCGGATTATCTGCCCGCTTGTAGGATTCTTCCATTGAGCTGACCTTCTTAGCCGAGGACTTGCGGCGCGTAACACCCTTCTTCCGAGTAGAGAAGCCGAAGAACCGCTTCTTCTCGGCAATATATGCACCCGGATCAGGCTCAGGAGCGGCCCCCTTCACTTGTTCTTCCAGCACCAGCCACTTAGCATCTTTGATAATGGTCTCGAGTAACGCGCAGCGTCCGAATACCGCTTTCCGGTTAGTCGGTTCTTCGCCCGCCAAGCTGCTGATCCAAACCCACCAGAAAGAGTCATCCAGATCCAGAGTAGTAATGCTTGCTAGTTCAGCCGGCTCCGTTAGTGGTTCATCGTTCAAGCTGCGTTTGTGCGACTGCGAGCTTTGAACTCTGACTGTAGACAAGGGAGGAAGAATCTTGTCCGGAGGCAACAGCAAGGGGCCACCGGGTCCTTTGAGAGCGGTCTCGTCCCCAAAGCCTGAGGACATGAAATCCGCCCAAGAAGGGGTCGTGGGCCGGCCCAGATCTCCAGTACCGGACTGGGGAGCGGATTTCAGGCTACCGAAGTCATTTCTGGGTAGACTGAAAGCGTTTGCATCGTTGTTGGAATCCGACTCAAGGGCGCCTCCAAAGCCAAAATCTTCGAACCTGGACCATGAGGCTTCATCTCGGGTGGTGGTGTCCGACTCTGTCGCTGCGGACTGATTAGTTGAGGCAATGGATTTCAGTACACGGAGACATTCGTCAGTGAGCGCGCGAACAGGGTCGTCGAAGCCAGCAAACTCCTGGAGGTGCCGGTCACTGTCCCTATATTCAAAGTTCTTTGCGCGCCGTAACAGAGCAAAGGGCGTGGGGGAGACAGTATCAACAATCATCACCACCTTCGTGGTTGAAACCTGAAGAAGAGTAGGAGTCTCCGGTGGATATTCCGTTCCCTGGATCAAGCTCTGGAGGGCAATAGGCAGGGAGGAGATGGAGTTGATCCCGCGGGGTTCTGGCGACAAGGAGCGTAGATAGGCAAAAAACAGATGGCTTGTCGCATCCGCCGCACTAAGGAAGAGTAAGCCTCCAGAGCCCTCTCTTCGAAATATGTCTTCGCAACATACCTTGCCCAGTTCTTGTAGGCGGCTTCAAAGCCACTGCCTGTATCTGAGTGGTCAAAAGCCCACCATCCAGCATAGCGAGACAGTTTGCGGCCACCAAGACCATTCGATTTACCATGTGCTGCAACGGCAGCGAGCAGGTCGAAGAAGTCCGTGATGATCTTTGCCCGGGCGTCTGAATCAACACTGATCGGGATGAAAGTGGAGAACGCATCGCGAGCGAACTGAGAGTCTAGGAATGGTCAGCTGGTCTATATCGGAGCTAGGGTGCCTTCATAGTCGCACCTTGTTCGCCAACCTTGAACAATTCATAAGCTTCCCAGGTCACAACACCACCTGGAAGTCTGCTCCAGCACCATTTCAACACACTACATATGACCTATATCCATCGAAAGCGAAGAGTAAGAACCAAGTCGTGGTAGTAATCAGGATATGGTTGAAGCCACTCACGATTGGGTCCGACAGCCGCAGATCTTGTGCCAGTGCTTCCCCGTTCACCGGGGAGCCTTTCTCCACGGACTGGTTGAAATAGTTACGGATAAAGGTGCGTGCGGCGCTGGCGTCGGAGCTTGGGCGGAACGGTAGAAGAAGGAAGGGAGTTTGGAGAGCTGTCAATGAAGAAGGAGGCAGGGATCAGCAAGTCGAGGAATGCACACAGGGGTGGACTAAATTTGGCAAGGGGAGCGGGGGTGGATCATCAGCCACGATGGAGGCCTACCTCGTGCTTTCAATTCCTGAGTGCATCCGTGCAACAGCTCCTGGACTTCTTCTGGGCCAACTTCGGTTCGCTGCCACGCGTCTGTCCATGTGGGCTTTGCGGGACCCTTATCTTCTACCTCGGAGGTTTTGGCGTTCTTCTTGGGGGTGTTGGCATCCTTACTGCGAAAAACGCGAGTAAAGAAAGGCATTCTGAACCGACACTTTTTGCGCGCCAGATTTTCGGCGGGCGGACGACGCGATCCTCGGAGAAAGATAAACGGGGAGTGAGGGGGGGAGGTGGTCCGGATAACAATGCCCAACAGCGGAGGCACAGGAGGGGCGTGTAACCGGGGTCGCTAGCGAGATCCGATAAACAAGTAAAGTTGCAAAATTAACCAGGCGAGTTCGTCACGCAGTATGTCTAGCAGGTACACGGTGCAGGATTTGAATAAAGCGGAGGAATGATAAAAGGATGGAGGCGCGCGGATTAAGAGGAAAGCGACAAACCCCCAAGGGGAGGGACAGTGGATGTAAACACCGTCCTGAAGTAGCGATTCAGATCAGATAGCTCAATCAATTATCAGCGTCTACAGACTGGTCGAATGAATCGAGCCAAAGCGACCGAAAAGAAGGCGGGAAAAAAAGGGCCGAAGGCGATAGATGCAGCAGCAGCAGTAGCAGCAACGAAGGCCGACCAAGAGTCCAGGAAGGATCGCCTGCAGGGCGGGAAGCAATCAGGTTCGTAAATATGCCACCGCAGCGGCGACTGCAGCCACGATGGAGGGAGTGGGGGGAGTGAATTGCAGTTGTGACCAGTCAGTGGGAAGATAAGAGGGCAGAAGAAAAAGAAAAGAGAGAAGAGAAACGCAGTGCAGCGCGAAGCAATGCAAGAAAAGAAGAAGAAGAAGAAGAAGTGGGAAGGAATTGGACAGATGAAGGAGATGAAGGGACCGCCGGTGATGATGAGGATCGACTGGGGTTGCCGTTTCAGGGGTTGGAAAATAACTAAGTCAGTTAATACGCCCGCTATCCATGGTTCTGAATCGATGAAGAATCTCGAGGCTCATGCAGTGGCCAATTCCTTCTGCATTCGCAGTTAAACTTACCGACTCACCGTCTCCGAACGTGGATCTGCAGCGACATGCTTCTACCTACAGTGCACAGGATGGATACAGTTTTAGTGATGCACGAGTAGATGAAGCACGTCGATTGCCCGGTGTATATAACTGACACATTAATAATTTTTCCTCGTACCCCGATCCCAACTGCAACACAAACCTCTGTCAGTAGCGACTCTTCCACTGGACACCAGACGGTAGTACAACAGCAAATAATCGACATCAGCTGTGATCCGTGGGGGGGGGAATCCATGGAATGGGACAACAATTCTTGGTTCGATGCCTGATGGATTGTTGTTCAATAATCATCCTAATAATCCCCAAGCCTAAGACGGGTTCTGTGACTGGTCCAGGCGCGAAAACCAAATAACCTGGACCTAAACCCGAATGGGTTGCAGTGAGATGATAAGGTCCGGCGACGGGAGAGTCACCGGTCTATCCATGATTCCATCCCTTCAGCTACCAAAGTACTCAACTCGCTGGCCAGTTGTCCGTAACCTAAAAGCTTCTGAGGCTGACCCAGACAAGCAGGCAGGCGGTCAGGCCCCCTTCTGGCTTCTGGACCCCTCGGGGGTTGTTCACCAACCAGCCCAGCTTTGTCCGACTCCAGTCGCCCCCAGGTGAAACCATTTCCCCCTAAGTGGGATGATGTTTAAGGTAGTAATATCGGGGCTCTTGTAGTAGGGAGTAAGAAAGTCAGCGGTGCTCTGTGAAACCCATTGAACCTTGAGCCCATTTCATTGAGGGTCTACTACCGAGCAAGCTGGTGACGGTGACATGACTCAGGCAATAAATAAGTGTAGTACGTAGCAATGACAGTGACAGTCGAAAGGAAGGAATGGAGGCGGGGGATAACAATGAGCTCGGACAGCATCTTATATGAACCTCAGCTGACTGATCGCCGTGTCAGTGAGAGCCAATTAGTTTGAGGGTCTGGTCTAGTCGTCTAGGTTAGTCTACTCCGTAGTCATCTGTCAATCTAGAAGTCTGGAAGGATGGCCCTGCCTGGGGGTCTATAAATAACTAGCTGGGAGAGTGGGCGGCAGTCGAGAGCCGCCGTTGGCGAGCGGGTAAACCGCCTGGGACTATCTTTAGAATAATCTTCTGCATCACCCGCGTGTTCCTTCCATTCACCTTCCACCCCATCCATTCATCCCATCCCATCGTCCACTTCTAGCTTCAGCATCAGCATCATCATCATCATCATCATCACCACTACTATTGTTCTAATCGTCACCCACTTCTTCTCTTGCTCTCTCTCTTTCTTCTAATTCCGCTTGCTGTCGACTTGCCTGGAGCCGCACTCTTTTTTGCGAAGGTTGGTTATACCTGAGGCCATCCTTGCATCGGCTGCCTGACTGCCTGGCTTGTCTGGCTGCTGCTGCTTGTCTGGCCTGTTTCTCTTTTGCTCTCTTTCTCTCTCACTCTCGTTTTGAGCCACACAAAGCCACTCCCTCCCACTCCCACTTTCCTTTGCGCGCCGCCCCCCCTTTGTCTTTACCGTCACACTGGCTTGTCTCATTCACCTTGATATCCACATTAACCCCCCCCCCTCCTCCACTACTTCCCCCAATTCCCAAACTTAACTCTCTTCTTACTGCATCTACCCCCTCCCCCCCCAGTCCCCTCTCTCCCAAAAATAGCGCGCTCATTCCCAATCTCACCACACTTACCGTTCCATTTACCTTTTCTACCTTCCCTGATCTTCGTCATTCGTTCTTCTTCCTCTTTGTAGAAGTGATTTCGAGGCTTCTCTATCTCCTTCCTCTCGGGATAATCGGTAAAAAATTAATATTAATTTTCAACCTGACCGCGACCTGGCTCTCCGGTCGTCGCTCTCTTTCCTATCTTTCTCTTTTTCCTATTATTTTTTTTTCTTATCTCTTCGCGTTCTGGAAATACCTTCATCGGGCGGCGCTTCCCTGAGTTTCAGTTCGCGCCGCTATTCGATTCGGACGAACTATTGCTCCACTTGGCATATTTGTGATTGACCTTGTCGTCAGTGCCGCATAAACGCGCTCATATCCCTCATGGGTCGGAGAAAGATCGAGATCAAGGCGATCAAGGATGACCGCAATCGCTCAGTGTACGTTCTTCCCGTGCAGCTTCTTGATGTGCTTGTGGTGACGGTACCACCACTATTGCTAGACTAACTGACTGACATCTCTGTCGGCTTCCAGGACCTTTCTTAAGCGAAAGGGCGGTCTCTTCAAGAAAGCACACGAGCTTGCGGTCCTATGTTCGGTCGATGTCGCTGTCATCATCTTTGGTCATAACAAAAAGCTATATGAATTCTCGTCTTGTGACATGCGAGAGACGCTCGCTCGATATCAATATGTGCGGTGGACCCTCAGATTCTGACTACTCGTTCCTACCGCTGACGCGACCCATTTCTTGCAGTTTGGACCTCCCCATGAACACAAAGGCCCGGAAGACTTTAACGGCAAACGCGACGATGACGACGACGAAGATGAAACGACACCCGCCCCCGAAGACATTCATCCGACGCCTCCGAACCCTCCCATGATTCCCGCCCATATTCCTGGCCATCCTGGCTTCCAACATGTCAATCACGCCCCGTCAGCTTCTCCACCCATCCCCAACGGGTTGCCCTTCGATCCTCGTCATGGTACCCCTCAACCACAAGGTGTCTCGAGACCGTCATCAAGGAATCATCTGCGTCGCGTCAGCTCTAACATCGGACCTCAACAACATCATGCCACACCTCCGCCGCCTCCGGCGCCACCGCAGAACGGTTTCACGTATATGCTTAATCCATCCGTCTATAATCCAGCAGTTGCTCATCCGATGGCTCAACCTCCTCGTCCCGGTCAGTTTGCGCATTACGGCCCACCGGGGCCGCATCATCAGCCCGGGCCACCCCAGCATCAGCACCAGCATCCGCCGATACCACCGCAAGCAATGCCCCCGCACTCGATGGCGCCCCAACCCATGCCGCAGCATCTCGCACCACATCCACATCCACGTGCCATAACACCGCAACCACCACCCATGGCTATATCGCAGGCGCCGCATCACCCACCCGTACCACAGGTAGCCCAAGCATTCCTCACAGAACAAGGCCGAGCTTCCATGCCCCCGACATTTGCACAGCACGAGCCGCAGGCACAACCGCAAGCGCCACGGACGGTATCACTTCCCGAAGCGACCGCTGCAGAGCAGATGCCGGGCCCTATGAAGACAGAAGGAAGCCCCTCGCCTCCCCATCAAAGATCTCTATCGTCTAAGTCGCGCAGCATCTTCACCCCTATCGACGACCGCGGCTCAGTCTTAGCGCGTCACTTTGGTGTAGGCCCGCCCACATGTGAGCCGGGAGAAAATGTCCATCTCAAGGCGGAAGCTCCGCAGGGAAATCCCACTGATGTAAAGCCACCCAAGCCACTTGCAGGGAAGGCAGGGAAGGCAGGGAAGGCGCCACCACCGCCCCGAGCGGCGACGGAAGCCCCACGCCCCCAGCCTGTAGCGGATCTAAAGCCACCGGCACGAACCAACAACGGCCAATTACCCCCTAAGCGCCCGCAACTGAAGGTGCAGATCCCAAGCGAGAATTCAGATAGAGGCAGTGCGACAGGCGAATCGTCCTCACGCGACTCGGCGGGTAATAAGACTTTGACGCCGGCCAAAGCCAATGCAGATACTAGTCATTCGGGCGTGGTCCTTCCTCCGCCGTCACCATCCGCTGGCGCGATCCTTAGCGCGGGGGCCCAGGGACCACCGAACCCGTTTGCCAGACCACCACCGCCTCCCGGTCCGGCCGCGCAGAACAATGCCGCCTACAACAATAACAGCAATATTGACACGCCAATCTCTGCTCTTCCCAGTCGATTTGTTTCAGATGCACTGCTCCCATCACCTTCCAGCTTTTTCCCCGAATGGGGATTTGGTCGCTCGGGTCCGGACAGCAATATGCTCCCAAGCCCTTTGACGTTCCCGACCCCCGCCGTTCAGACCGGACCTGGCTTCGGACGTGACGACAATGATCAAGATAAAAAGCGCAAAAGCCCCGACAGCGGGCCGAGCGCAGAAGGGGTGATGAAAAAGCCGAAGACGTAACTGCTGGAACTTGCGAGTTGTTGCGCATCATCAAGTTGACGGTCTCCCCCATCTCATTGGCTCTGTTGTCTCTTCTTATCCCATGTTTTGAATAATGGCATTTACATGGCGTTAGTGATATTTACTTGTCAGGGGAGGAACTTTTTGGCAATCTGTTTGTCGAAGTTGGTGTGTATGTCTGTGTGTCACTCTCCTTTGTTTTAGGGTTGTCTTTTGCGGAAACAACTTTATACCCCTTTTCCTATAGTATCCGTCATCTTTCTCACTTTCCCTTTTTGTTTGGTCTAGCTGGGCTATATACTGTGTGGGTATTGCTTCGCTTTGCTATTGAGACCCTCAGATCTCCAACACACTTTGCTACTCTCACCCTTTTATTCTCCAGCTGTTCGTCTCTGGAAACCGAGGGCGGAAAGTTTAGAAAACCCCGCGCATTGCCTCTTCCTTCCTTTTTTTTTTTTTCGCCCTCTTACCTCTAATTCTTCTTTGTGTTGTTATCTTGGACTTAGGGGGATGGCACCTGAGGGCGACAGTGATGGTGATGGTGATCGGTGATCTCTTTCTTTTCTTTTTTCCCAAGTATTTTTCATTTTCTTTTTTCTTATTTACTTTTCTTATTTGTGTCAAAGAATGTATATAAAAGGGAGAGGGGTCTAGCTGGATTTGGATATGTTCGATTAGGAAAGTGAAATAATTTGACCTTCGCTTGATGCATAATCCACATCCATTCATCCATTCATCCATTCCATTTTAATCATGACTGGTCATATCAGATTCAGTGGTACTGTATCACAAGTATATGTGGCTTGTAGATGGTGAGAAGCATTCCGCACAGAGAGTAAAATAAGTGCTGCGTATGCTGCCGCTTTTTTCTCGAATGGATCGCAATGCAATGCAATGCAATGAGGAGAGAAACCCCAACTCCCCTTCCCCTGGGCATTTGAAGTATGTATGCCGCTTAACCCTGAAATTCGGTCGTGGGGAAGAAGGGAAAGCGGGCAATGAAAAATATGTAGACATTATGAAGTAGAAAAATATATGCTCCAACTTTCTCCGGAGTTGATATTATTACCCTTTTTCTCTTGCTCCCCTTGCTGGGTCTTGAGAGCAATGGAGGATAAGGAAAGGGGTGGCGTGGCGTGGCGTGGGGTAGGTACACTATACCTCCTCCTTGGGCTGGGGTTCGCCGTGTTGTTGCTTCTGCTGGGCTTCCAAGACGGCCTTGCGAGCTTTCTCCTGCTCCTCCAGGCCGGTCTTCGCGATGGTGTGGGCCTTGCTCAAGGTAACGGGGCGGACGAGCAGGCTGAGGGCCAGGCCGAGGGCGGCGATGGCACAGTAGAAGATCCACATGCGGCTGAAGGCGGTGGTGTAGGCGTCGAGGACGACCTGGCGCTGGGCCTTGGGGAGGGAGCGCAGGAGATCGCCCTGGGAGCCACTGAAGGAGGAGGCGATGGTGTGGGCGTTGTCGGCTCCGACGGCGGCCGCGATCTGGGGCATGCGGCTGGCGAAGACATTCTGGTAGATGACGGTGCCGAGGACGATGGAGATGGCGGCGGAGACCTGGCGCATGAAGCCGAAGGTAGCCGTGCCGGCGGCCATGTCGCTGGGGTGGATGTTGGCCTGCAGGGCAACGAGCGGGGACTGGAAGAGCGGGCCCGTGCCGATGCCGCCGATGATCTGATAGATGATGATGCGGGGCCAGCTGGCGTAGGCCTTGAGGTCGATGAAGAGGCCGTAACCGATCGTCATGAGGAGGAGACCGCCGGTGATGAGCTCGCGGTAGCGGCCGGTCTTCTTGATGACGACGCCCGTGGCCGCGGAGAAGATGGAGAGGCTGAGCACGGTGGGGAGGACGTAGACACCGCTGAGAATCGGGGACGCCAGAAGCACTGTCTGGAAGTAGAGCGGGAGGTAGTAGGAGCCGGAGATGAAGACGAAGCTGTGGCAGAAGTTGATCAGGAGCATGAGCACGTTGTGGAAGTTGTTAAACAGTCGAAGAGGGATCACTGGGTAGCGCGCGATCTTCCACTCATTGATGAAGGCGACGACCCAAGTCACGATTCCGAAGATAATCAGGCAGATCACCGTGGCCGACGCCCAGGGATAGCTGACGCCGCCATATTCGAGGCCGAAGAGGAACATGAGCGTGCCGCCGATCATGAGGAAGGTGCCCGACCAGTCGATAGAGCGGAGTCCTGCAAGAAGGGGCACTTTGCTGGCCTCAATCTTGAGGAAGAAGATGAGAATGACGAGCGAGAAGCCCCCGATAGGTACTGGATATCAGGCGTTAGTGTGGGGATGGGGCAGTTCAATTCGCATTGAAAAGACCTACAATTGATGTAGAAGCACCACCGCCAGCTAACACTAGTGGTGAAAGCACCGCCAATGATAGGACCCAGGGCACCTGCAATGGCCCAGGTGGAGCCGAAAATGCCGTAGTACATCGGACGCTCCCTGCGACAAGTCAGTCAACTGAGCCGGTCAAGCCCTCCGGGGGTTCGCTGAAAGCTCAAGGCGAGGTTATACTGACCGAACACTGAACAGATCGGTCACGCAGATGTTAGCTAGAACGATGATTCCACCGCCGCCAACGCCCTGAATCGCTCTGCCGGCGATGATCATGGGCAGGTTGACTGCCAACGCGCAGATAAGACTGCCCACCAAGAACAAGAAATTGGCAATCAGGATGATCTTTTTCCGGCCCCAGACATCACTGATCTTGCCCCAGAGGGGGACACAGGCGGCATTCGCCAGCATGTAAGAGGACGCAATCCATGAGTACCCGCCCTCCGTTGCATGGAAGTGGTTAGCAATAGTCGGAAGTGCCGTCGAGACGATGGTCTATGTGAAGCACCAGAGAGTCAGTAGACTGGCGATCAGATCCAGGGGACCCAGAAGACCTTACCATGTCCAGAGCTGCCAAGAACAGAGCCAACTATATGTAACATTAGCGTGCTGTCACAATGTCCGAGGCGGAGTATAAATGTGGAGAGAGAGAAAGGAAAACATACACAGAGCGCCGTCATCACGACCAAAATCTTCTTCTTCCCCAGTTTCTGTGCCTGAGAGGGCACGCGATCCAGCGGGGCGCTAGCAGCAGCCACAGCAGCCTCATCGTCTAGCGTTCCATCATGGCCTTTTTCAGTTTCGACGGGGATTTGTTCATGCGAGGCTCGTGAGGCGGGCCTGACTGCGTCAGGCTTCTCCGACCCAGCTCGGTAGGAAGAGGAGCTTGCCTCGGACGGTGACATGCTCTCCGCAATCATCGGACCCTTGTCCACTGAGGTCTCCTCAACGTGAGGGTGTTGATGACCCGGCATAACTTGGGTGTATAATATCCCAAATTCGACGAAAGTGAACGGAGATTTGACACAAACACACACAGAGAGAGAGAGGGAGCAAAGGAAAAGAGGGAGGGAAAGAACCGAGGTTTTTTTGGCCGCTTTCTTTTCTTCTTGAGTTGGAAGGACAGAGCAGAGACCGCAGAGCAAACCGGGTTGTTTCCCTTTAGTGTTGACGGTGGCGGGCGAAACCGACGCTTGCAGCAAAACTTTGGCGTTTGGTTTTAGTTTACGGGGTGCTCCCAGCAAGACCTGTTTTGTTTTTTTCTTCTAGAACTGTGGCGCGTATCGAAGTTAGCTAAGTATGAGATAATGAGAGACAAGTCTCAAGTCAAAGTTTTTTTTTCGCGTTCAGCATTCTAGGTTTAAAGCAACTAAGCTACCTTTTTATTTCGTTGGTCACGTATTATGCGAGTATGTTTGAGACCGAGCCCGAGACTAAGACTTTTTGCGCTTGAGGCGTCGGAGATAAGGTCGGCTTTGTGGCCCTCGCCCCCGAAAAGGGTAAGAGATAGGAAGAAAAGAAGAAGAGAAAAAGGCCTCGACCGTGGAGCGGACCCTGAACTGAATTTTGGTTCCAGTTGGAGTTGGAGTCCATCTTCTTCTTCTTCTTCTTCTTTTTCTTCTTCTTCGGGTTGGAACGTGGATCGTCTTCTTATACCAAAACTTCTGACCATTGGCTCCACTAGTATAGATAGAGGAGTAAGAAGAGGAGAAATAAACAAGTCGGCTGCAGGGCGGAGAATTCCATTCGACCCCACGAGGCTTAGCTACAATGAAAGCTCCAAAGTTGATTCATCTTCTCGGACTGTCGGACTTATTCCCCGCCGATGCCGAGCTTTTTTGTGATGAGTCGATGACTCGTCAATACAAACAACTTCCACTAAGGTAAACTGTATGCCTGCCCAACATAGCTGACTGGCTCTCACCGCATAACTAGACTGCCTGCCGTAATAACCAGAGGTGGCCCGGAGCGGGTTGCCTTATGCGAGGCCGATATCCAGACTCCATCACCGCCCGATGTTCTAGGCAGGTGAACTGTATACCTTAGTCATAATTACACTTGCATGAAATCAAGCATCACCTAGGAATGTTCCTCACAAAAACAATTTCTCTCTTCTTAGCTCACACACCTCTCTATCACCATGTATGCCACTGGAAGAGAACTAAATAGGGTATATAATGTACAATGACACATCATGAAAGGGTGCAGTAATCGACCATCCATCCACCTTTACTATGAAACACCCCAAACTCCACGCCTTCCATCTAATCCTGCAACTGAAGAATCTCTGCACACACACACGTCAGCAACCTGTCGGTGCGATACCGCTTCTTGGTTTTTTTTTTTTTTTTTTTTTTTGAGAAGGGCTGCATCCGCACTCACCTGTCAAAAACTCCTCGAAGCTCACCGTAATATACCCATCCCGATCGTCGTCATACCGTTTGAACACGTCGGTCATGCGTCGCAGACTAATGCAGGCCTGCACAAACAGGTCGAAACTCATGCCATGTTTGCCGTACGTATGCCCATTCATCTGCCGGCCCTTGCTCTCGAAGGTGATGAACATGACCTGCACGAACCCCGGGCTGAGGCGGTACCCGAAAGCGACCAGCGCGTTCTCGAACTCGGGCAGGCTGATGCGGCCGCTGCGGTCCACGTCGAACCGATCGAAGAGCTCCCGCCACGCCGCCAGATAGCGCCAGAGGGAGACGAACTCGTCGAACGAGATGGTCCCGCTGCTGTTGCGGTCGAACATGCGGATCATCATCTTGACCGTCTTCGGGTGGAACGAGGTGTAGTCGCCGTTCACCAGCGCCGAGCCCAGCTCCAGCTCCGTCAGCGCCCCGGAGTGCGAGGTGTTGGCCGCGCGGAAGAGGGGGTACAGCTGCTGTGGGTCATCGTCGGGGACCGCGAGTGGAGGAGGGTGGGGGGATTGGGGCGGACGCGACGACGGGGGAGGACGGTTGCGCACGGGCTGCGAGGGAGGAGGCCCGAAGCCGTAATTCTGGGGCGGAGGTGAGGGGTGTAATGGGTGCGGACGTTGCTGGACAGGAACGGTTGGCGATCGCCCACCACCATGGTGAGTCTGTTGGACAGGCGCTGGGTAGCGCTGCTGCGGGTTGACGCTCGGCGCTCCGGACACGGGCACGCGCGGAGGCACTCCGCTGGAGGAATGGTGGGAAGACTGTCGAGGGGGTCGTTGGTGAGTCGAGCCGCTCGTCTGCATCGCACCGAGCATCTGCGCAACCTGTTCCCCCTCAAAGTCAGTAGCTGCGGGGTAGAGAAGTAGATCAACCTGCATCATTCGGGTTCCTGCGTACCTGCTCGGGCTCTGCGTGACTGTGCTCAGGATCCTCACATATTAGCGACAGTTGCTCAATGTTTTCCGTCGGGCTTGTCTTTGTTCTCGACTCACGCTGGCAGCGCATCTGGATTGTAGGACTGATTGTACGCCATGGCGGCAAAGGCTGACTGACGTGACTGACGTAAGGGCGGCGGGCGCAATCCGAGCGACAGGCGTCAAAACGGGCAGCGTAGGTTTGCACCCAATCCTCTAGGCACGACGAGGAGGTGAGGTAAGATCTCGAGGTGTAAAGATTTTAGGAGTGAAAGGCAAGGACCGAAAGGAGTTCGGGGAGATGAAGGAATTATTAGGCTTTGGCCATGCAGTTAGTTGTTAAGTTAGCGACCAGATTCGTTTTTGCGGACCTGCAGAGCGGAGCCGTGGGGCGGCGGTTTAGCAGGAATCGCCAACCGAAATCAACCATAAAAGGGGGTAGAAGACGCGGTACTACACATACCCATAGGTAGAAAGTCCGTTTAATGAGCGCAGATGATCTGTCAACCACTCCAAAGAGAACAAAAGGATTCAAATCAGTTCCCTTCCGTACAAGCAAGGATCACTGGCTTGACCTTTGTCACGGGAGGGGGTGAAGGTGGAAACTGCGCGCGGAACGAAGGCAGATCAGGCCGAATGAAAGAAACTCAGCCCTACTGTGTACTATATCCGACACAGCTTATTTTTGAACCGGTTGGCCCACGGGTTCCATTCCAATTCGTGGTGGATCCCACGCAAAGAAAAAGGCATCTGTGCTACTTCTGAATACTATACAAACTAGGATTGAACTGCTGGGAGGCTGTGTTCAGAGCCAGTGGTTCAAGAGATTTAAAGTCTTCGTGTCAAAGATGCTCAGCCTTGCGATGTCATTCGCAGAGGCCACAAGACCGGGGAAGCCTAGGCGCCGTCACGAACCCCCGACCAACTGCTCCAGTCCCTCCTTCTGTTCATTCAAAATGGACGCGATCTCGTTCCAAGCAATGTTCCGAAACTGCTGTCCTTCTGCTCCCGTTGTTAATGCGATCGATTCGCTGTTCTTTGTTAACCAGCACCTTCTAACCGTGGAACAGGTCCGAGGTAGACTCACTCTAGATAACTATCGTTTCTCCAACACTTCCCATGAGACTCCACCCCTTGGTACGTGGCACTCACCAGCGATCGGCTGCCTTGCTCAGCTGTGCGCGCAAAGAGTTTATACGCCAGCCAAGACAGCCATCGCTCGTAAAATCTACGATACTGCCGCCCGAGTGACGAGGCACAAAACCCCGGACTTACGGAGTTGATGATCACAGGCACCGTCCCGTCGTCCTGGCGAACCATCCCAGCCGCCATCTTGAGCATATACTCGAGCAAAAGCTTGGAGATCCCGTACTGTCGGCGGCCTAAGAAATTGCGGGGGTCGTTCAAATGCTTGAATAACGGCTCTTCCGTTCGGAGGCTCTGCGCCTTGACCCGAACGAACTGTTGGCTGGAGACCACTGTAAGATGGGCTGGCTGCGTCGGTGTCGAGCTGCTTCTCAGCTTGGGGAGGAGGAGGAATGCCAATAGGGATGTCGAGAGCGTGTTGACCTGCAGCGTCTCCTCCCATCCTTCCGGCGATACGGTGTAGTCTCGATTCCATAGACCCGCGTTGAGGATGGCGATATCCAACTGGTTGACTTCGTTGTTCACACGCTCTGCGAAGCTCTTGACGCTCTGGAAGCTGTTCATCTCCAGCTGCCACACCTGCACCACACCCGGTCTCTTGGTGCGTCGTTCAAGCTCCGCCTTAGTCGCTTGGCCTTTTTGCAGGTTACGACTGCCTATGATGAGTGAGTCCACGCCCAGGCTGAGGAGCTTGACAGCCGCCTCGAACCCCAGTCCGGATGTTGCTCCGGTCAGAAGCACCGTCTTCCCTGCGAACGACACCCCGCTGGGATCGACCGGGATATTGCGTCGCGACCGACGAAGGCGAAATATCCCTGCCATGGCGAATGTGAAAAGACACAGCAGTATGGCCTTCGAGGTCGACATTATGCGGCCGAGGAGGACGTTTGCCAAGGTATAGAACAAGGTTGGTGTAGTAGATCCAACCGATCCAAATCGAGCAGGCTCGCGTGAGGTAAAGATTATCTAGCCTCGACAAATGGATGCTGGTGATAGCTGCCAGCTGAAATTAGCGTATTGCTAGAGCCGGGTCCGGCGTCTGGGCCGGCCCCGCTGAATCGCCCCGACACGAACAAGATGATGGAGACCGCGGGAGCAGGAAACGAATACGAAAGAGAGGGCGCGCAAGCTCTGCAGCAAAAAGTCCGAGCAAGGATGGGATGGACTAAGCGGGGCTTCTGCAACTGCGATCCGCCCCCCTGCAAATTTGGGTTGTCGATTTGCCTTTTGTGAGGCTCGGCTGTAATCCATGCAAATGGAACAGAGGATGCAAATTGCTCACGTAAGGCTGGGCAATCAAGATTAATGAGTAACACTACAAAATAGAATTTCTGTCACACCGTCTCAAGTGACTTCCCGAGACAACGCTGCAAGATGGCGAGATCCAGGCATGAATTGAAGTCATCGATCAGGGATGGCAAACAATGCAAACATGCGGAGTAAATACTCTTAGGTACGCTCAGCGGCGGGTGATTTCTCAGCAATAATATCGGCGGTGATACAACCATTGTGGTAGGTGCCTATCTGCCTGCCTCATAGATTTTGGAAAGAACCGAGTAAGTCAACTTAGAGACTTGCTCTCTGGCTGCTTCAATCTATCAACCTAGTTCTTGTCAATTCTTATTACAACCTTTCTTTCTGGTCCCCATTATCCATACGACAGACATTATTATAGACCAGGTTGTACTCAGTAAGTCAAGCCATCTTCGCCAAGAAAATCACCTGAGCCACATCTCTAAATGAAGGACCAGGTTGAGGCATCGGAGATGGGCTCGGCTGAACAAGGGAGCGAGACTCCCAGAGACGGCCGAACATGGCGTAACTACTTCCCTAAAGGCGACCTTTGGGTGTTCGGATACGGGTAAGCCTAGCCGTTCACTGTGCTGCCGGGGTCGCTCCGCGGCCGAAGGATGATCCCTGGAATCAACAACCAGTGACTGATGCAGAGCAGGAGTTTGATTTGGAAGCCGCCGCCGCATTATGGTATGTAGAGTATACAGCTTACATCCATGATACCAGGAGTGGCCTATTTCCATTCATGATACAAATGGGCTAATGTCTGCCAGATCAACGGGTTCCTGGCTACATCAATGGCTATGTGCGGCGCTTCTGGCAGGTTCGTTGATGCATATCTTTCGCCGTCTGGTTGTGATGACTGGGTTTGTTAATGTGCAGATAAACTCACTGGCGATGTCTGTTAGGCAAGGTGGGTCAAGCTATGCTTGAGAGATGACATGTCAGGGCTGACAGGTCGCGTCTAGTACCGACCATCGTGGCACTCCAGAGAGCCCTGGACGAGTTGTGACAGTGATCGAACGGGAGTTCTGGGAAACACTGGATGATCCGGTATGTCTTCTCGTTCTCTCCAGCGGCCGCAGTCAGCCAGCTATAATCATGAAATCCTGTTTGCTGCCAATCTGCCTATTTGAGATGGCTCACTCACAGCTTGAAACAGCTGGCGCACCTTGAAAGCTCCCCGACGGCCACGGTTTGGGGTGCTGCATATCACATCCCCGCTTCCCATGCTGAGGAGGTGCATGATTATCTCGATGTCCGAGAAATCGATGGTTACACCGTTCATTACACTCCTTTCCATCCCGTCGATACCCCCCAAGAGCCAAACGCAGAGGAATCTACAGCATCTCCAATCGTGTGTATGGTCTACATCGGTCAACCAACCAATCCGCAGTTTTTGCGGGATCCAGCCCGGCGAGAGCAACAAGATGTGGCCGAGGTGATAAGTCGCAGTCAGGGACAGAGTGGTAAGAACACCGAATACCTGTATCTCTTGGAGAAGTCGCTTGATGGACTCGGGCTGGGGAGTGCCGATGTGCACGTCACTGATCTGGTGCGACGGGTCAAGGCCCTCGAGGGCGCGGAAGAAGCGGCGGCAGAGGAGGCCAAGGCCGAACGGGATATAGAGGAGGCTCTTCATTCATCCAAAGTAGAGGCTCATCAATGATTTCCGCCGGCTGAATAGGCCCGTTCCACCCGTGTTGTGTCGGTGAGCTGTTATTGTTGCTGCCGCCGCTGCTGCTATATCCTCGGAGAGTTCTTGGCTTATGGCAGATAGACTGAAATAGAACATTCCAGGTAGAGAAGATCATCTCAAGTTCTTTAAAGGTGTTATGGGAATCTATAGGGCAAAGGAAGCGTTGAAGTAAGAGAGTGTCGAGGGTAGGTGAGGCGTGCCTTCCACGCTAGCTGCATACCCGCTGGTCTTACGCAAGCGGGCGATAAGGACAAAAGGAGGGCCTTTCCCGTATCGTCAAGCGAGACCAGAGGATGTGGTGCAGTGATTGTCCAGATCCGATTCACCATTGAGCCAGGCTATCTGTTGTGAGGATGTGATGTATGCAAGTAGACTAGCCTTCCCAGCCAAGCAATCCTGCAAGATCGACCAGCAGTCAGTATACCGTTACAGACTTGCGGACAGAGACAGGCCGATCATTCTGCAATCAGTTGAGGCTAAGGAGACGCGGTCTCTGCTGCGCTCGATTTGTTCGATTGTGCATTACGATTTGTTTGCTCGTGCTTCCGACAATCCCCAGTTCCAGGATGATGAAGAATCGACTGCTGGCACCTGCTGGGCTGGCTGGGCAATGAAGAAACCCTTTCTTGAGAAAAAGTAAAAGTGTCACAAACAAACCAAATTCTGAAAAGTCGCAATCTGCCCAGTGCTCGCTCCAAAGGTCCTTATCCAGACACTTTGCAGATCCTCACTGAATGCGCCATGGACATACAGTACATGTACATACAGTACGAGTAATTCTGGCCCCTCCTTCCAGGTACCAATGAGGGGTGGACAACGGAGGGGGGGGTCACTGCCGGTGATGAGCCGGTGATGAATTTCTTAGCGTCTCCGACTTCATCGGTTGCGCATTTGCCTCCCCCTCATTCATTACTTACGTTACCTATACCTGTCTATACCTATCTGTACCTTACCTACTGCCTTCAGTCCCTCTCTTTTTTACCTTCAAATCAAATGTGCTATACAGTACGGATTACTGCTTAGCTCTTTCAGCTCCACTATTTCCTTGCCTCTTCCAGCTCTCTCCCAATCTTCACCAGTTCAGCCTGTAACGTTAAGTTACAGGACCTCAGTTATCACCAGTCAGTCACAGTTACGTTACCCCTCCCCCTCCTCCCCCTCCCCCGGCCACTTCTGGACCAACTTGCATATCCCTAGCACTCTGAGAACAAAAAGCAAAGACAAGTGAAAAAGAAAAAGAAAAGGGTGAAAAAGAAAAGAAAACGACAAACATTACTTTTGCATTTGGACCAATTCTGCCGCGATGCCAGACTACTACGTACACCACCTTACTACTGTATCAATAATACCACTTTTACTCAGCCCTTCCTCTCCCCTCCCTCCCTCCTCCTCTCTTCCCCCCCCGCTTTAATCCAGCCGCGTTGTCCGTGTCCGTCCAGTCCTCTCGCTCTCCCACCACTCTTACTCTCTCTCTCTCCCATCGGCCAACTCGCGCTTGCTGCATCTGCCCACTTTGCTGACCGCAGTCTTTTTCGCCAGGAACAAAATCCTCCTTCTTTCACCCCTCTCCTTAAAAAATTTTCCTTCTCTCCTCTGAATCTCTCCCCCATCTAGGCTCAATAGACAAGTAGTCTTGCTAAGGTATGTGTCTATTCCTTTTTGTTCAGAGCACCGAAGCAGAAATGACGGAAGGACCCCCTCATCCTCATATCTGGCCAAGCCGGTTGGAGGGAATCTTCTGCAGGGTTTCCTCGCACTGAAGGCCACTGTCGCAAGCATTTTCTTCCCACTGTTGAATACTTTCTTTGACTCGTTCACGTCTCACTCCGACTTTCCATTCCCGTGCAAATTCCTGCGGTGCGAAAGCAACGTTGAACACCATCCCAAGCATTTCGACTCTTCGCTCTACCTCGGTGCTTCTGATTCCTCGGTACTAACCACCCAAATTCGCGCAGAACTCTACCTTCCACTCAAGATGTCTAAGCTCTTTGTTGGGTAAGTTTGTATCATTTCCTGTATCTGCTTTCCGCCATGAAATAGAACTAACTCAACGTAGTGGCCTGGCCTGGCACACCACTGATGAAACCCTCCGCCAAGGATTCCAGGACTTCGGAGTCGTCGAGGAAGCCGTGGGTACCCCCCTAGTCGCGCTGTTGTGAGCCGCGGGGTCGGTCTAATCAAATTGTTCTCAGGTCGTTGTCAAGGACCATGATACCAACCGCAGCCGTGGTTTTGGATTCGTCCGGTTCGCAACCGATGAGGATGCTGACAAGGCGATGGAGGCCATGAACAACCAGGAGTCAGTACCTTCTCTTTCCCCTCATCCTTTTTTGACTTATTGCTGACCCCAAATAGATTCGATGGTCGGGTTATCCGAGTCGACAAGGCTTCGGAGCGGCCTCGCGGTGGCCCTGGAGGTGGCGGCGGTGGTTTCCACGGCCGAGGCGGCTACAACCAGCGTGAAGGAGGCAATGGAGGTTACCGTGGTGGTTACGGTCCGTCAACCTATTTCCGCTCAAGATGGCCTTGAAGTATCAGCTAACTCAGATTACAGGTGGTGGCGGTGGCTACGGCGGCGGCGGTGGTAGTAAGTCTCAAGTTCCCCCAGGTCTCGCCTCTCAGTCTCACTGATGGAAAGATTATTAGACTGGCGTAGCCCCCAGCAGCAGTCATACGAGCCGAGCCAGAATGCTTGATTGCCTGCGCCGTGCATGTCGACCCCCAGAAACTGTCTTGCCCTCTCTCTCCTTCCCTCTGACACTATTTTATTCCATGCAAACCCTGCTATTAGTCCCTTGGGGGTTTCGGGCAGGGATGTGAATACGAAGGAACGAAGTCCCGAATTCGTTATGACGGTTACCCAAGAATGACTGGAACGATCACTGTGCCCCTGTTATGCCCCCTTTCTCTTTTTTTTTTTTTTGAGGCTTCATCTGCTGTTTTGCCCTGGCTGTCTCTCTCAATCCGGACTCTCCCCTTATTGCGGTTGCTCTCTTACATCGATGTAATTTGGCCATTATGGGAACTTGATCTTCTGAGCCGATCGTGAGAAATTGCAGAATTGTTGTGCTTCATAAAAACAAAAAAACCAACCGCAGGTTCTATCTCGGTGGGACATTCCCTCAGCTGAGGCCGTCCACCCCCACCCCGAAGCTATTAGAGTTTTAAGTCTTCAAGGGAAGGTATAGTAACCACGGCAGCGAACCGAACGCAGACAGAACAAGAATTTTTGACGGAACAAGATGCTAACTATCCCCGGGAGCTATCATGCAGGGCTCGATGCATTTCGACTCAGGCCGGTCGACTTGACGACGCTGTCCAAACATGAACGAGGGAAAATGCAGGGCAGATTTGAAGCTATGGAAGCCTTTTTCAAGGGCTCATGGTGACAACGCTCCAGCAAGAGTCTGCCTACTGTGAAGTAGTGTAGGCCTCATTCAGCAGGACGAGCAGTATTCAAGGTTGGAGAACGTGGTTGGGGAGCAGTGTACCCTCTGGCGGGTAGGTCTGTTCATCGGCGTGGTTTTATGTCATATTGGGTAACGTGTGAAGTCGATGCATATACACAGATTGACGAGTACACGTTTGGACAATCTCTGGGAATTGTCTTATCACTGGTAATTTACAGTGCGTGGGTGTGTCAGGACAGCCTCGGCTGCGCAGCTTACCATGCCCATGAGACTTGTCCATTGTGCCACAACAATGCTTGTCATATGTCGACATGTCAAGAACAGAATGCACAAACATACAGTACATATTCGAAAATATCAAGTGATAAAAATCAAAGTAGAAATCATCATCACCAGTAGTGAACTCACTTCAGTGCAGCAGAGACCGACTAAAGACGATTGAATCGGCAGCGCGCGCAAGCGAGCAAGCGGCATTGGCGGCATTCGTAGATGAAGTGCGGGTAGTTTTCGTGGCACTCTTCGCACCGATGAGCGCCTTTGACACGCTTCCAGTTGTCGTGGTCACATTCGTGGTCTTCCTGGAGGTTCTGTGCCACTTGTTGAACTTCCTGCTCGGGTGGATCATCTCGATCTCGACCAGCGACGTGTTGAGCTCGGAGCAACAACCTTTCCTCGTCCCAAATCGGACAGGTGCACGATTTCCAGGTAGAGCTGCAGACATAGCAGAACTCGTACCTGCAACGGCATCTGTAGCACGAGGGATATCAAAAATCTGAGCTATGTAATAAGGCATAGAAAGGACATTGACTTACGTGATATGGTTGCAACCTGTTCCCAACTCGATGACATGGCCGCATCGCGCACAGCGCTGCCATCCCTGCTCAGCTGCAAGGTCTAGAACAGTCTGGTCTTCAACCTTGTCATCATCGCACTCGGTCCCTGCATGGGCGGGCCGTTTGCAGAGAGTGCAAGTCTCCTGTCGACAGATCTTACATGTGCCGATGTAGCCCTGCACCTGATATGGCATCAAGTACTGCCCGCATCCCGCTATGGAGCAGTAGGTCCTGTACGGATCTTCCCTCTCAATCCACTTGTCCTCCAGCTGCTTGGCCAGTCGATGACCCAGGTGATCCTGGAGCGTCGATGGAGGAATCGGCAAACGGCAGCAACGGAGCGGCAGAAGCGACTCATCCGCCAGTGCCTCTCTGACTAGACGTAGTACACAAGCCCTACAGTACCGATGCGAGCACGGTGTCTGCATCATATGCTTCAGTGACTGTTCCTCGAAGCACGCAACACACTCAGCTGTGGCATCGTCATCCAAAGGGGACTTTGCGGCGACATTGGAAGGAGACCCAGCGCCGTATCCGAGAGCAGCTGCAGTGCGTGCGGGAAGCAGAGAGGAGATATCGGCCCCGTCTATCCGTGCCAGGATCCTGGTGGCATCCTGGATCTGTTGCGTAGCTAGATGTTGGGCTGGCTGGTGCTGGGCTTGTGGCGCTTGGTTTCCGTAGCGAAGAGCGAGCGTTCGGTCAGCAAGCGCCCTGCTCTCCTCCTGTGCAGCTAAGGTGAGTGCCACGCGGTCATCGTAGGTCGCTCGGTCGATGCTCAGAGCCATATGGCTGTCGTGGGTGGTCGTGGCGCACTGTTGGATCTGGGATGCCCATTCGCATAGCGCGAGCTCATGATCAGATGCTCCGCTGTTGTTGCTCCTAGTCCTGCTGGCTTCAATCTCCGCCTGCACATCTTGATGAAGTAGGCTCAGGATAAGCTGTGCGGAAGCTTCGTCCATACTGTTTCAGGGTGATGGTGGGATTCTATGGGTGTGAGAGATGTGTTGGGCTTGAGGACTTCGACAAGACTATGACCAGAGGTATGGGAAGTGCTTGAAGCTTGGAGAAGAAAAGTGTGGAAGAGGAGAGAGCAGAAAGCTTCCTTGCGCGCTGAACAGGGTTGAAAGAAGAAGTGAAGGAGAAAGGTGAAGAAGCAAAATGAAAAGCAGAAGCCGGATCAGAAGAGAGGTGGGTTGTGTTCAAGAAGTGCTCTGAATGACAGTGAAAGGAAGAATTTAGTGGTCAAGAATAAAAGTAGCCACCAACGAGTCTAGAAGTTGGGTGTTGATACTATCAATGGGTGCAGTGCAGTGCAGTGCAAATAGGGAGGCCACATAGTCTTTCCTATTTAGGAAGGCACAAACTTCCGGCGTAAGCGACATCATCCTGAAGCAAGTGTGAAGCCAACTGCTTCTGAGTCCATGAATCCTCGTCCTTCATCCTCTTCTCATCACTTTCGAAAAATTGTTCAATCTCCAACTCGGAAGCTATATACTAATCTTCAACTGCATCGACCATGCCTTCCCTAGCTTCGCAACATCTTCTTCCTCAAGATATTCATGCCAGAGTCGAAGACTGGATCTTGAGAGATGACGAAGATCCGCCGAGATTCTACAAGAAACTTCTTGCAGACCAGAATTCATTTCGTGGGAATGATTCTCTCTATCACGATTTACCAAAGTCATACTAATGAAATATATTACACTACTGTAGCCCAAACAGCACAGCCCAAGGCTTTCGCCCAGAGCAATGCTGACGCTACCTTGCCAACGGTCGGAGGATGCTCACTCTCACATCTCGCCGGTACAAAGCCTACTGCACCGGGAGATGAGAAGCTTGATAGATACAAGCGCCGTATGAGGTACAAAACCAAGGACGATCGATTTGACTATAAAGAGACCAAGGTCCAGAAGAAGCTCGAACGTCTTTCAAAGCATCTCAGGCGAGCAATCGCCCACAAGTTCCATGCGCCCAACGTGGCCCAAGATCGGTTGACGGTAGGTCATGTCTTTTAAACTACTTAGTACATTCTCTTCTTGCTGTAATGATGCTGAATGGGATGCAAGATCAACCATCGCCCAGACTTGGGAATCTTCAAGAAGGGAAAGACCTCTTCCCCTATCAATTCTAGAGGTATGCTTGCTTCGGACACGCTCGGATCTCCCTTCTCTCATGGGTAGATTTTGACTGTGCTTTAGTCCCCTTACTTGGCTTCTCAGAGGAAGACTTCCTGGCAGGAGCGCCTCAACGCCTAATTCCTCGGAATGACGTATCTAAGACATATTCCGAATCGCTTCCAGGTCATGGCACAGCAGATACTACCAGATGCGAGATGCAAAACTCAAGTTATGATAAAGATCACTGGTCACAACACGGCACGAATGGGAGGAGTGGAAACGTGCTACGAAATGCTATGAGATCGCCACGTACTGCCTTGGACTTGTCGTCAGAATCCGATTTTGAAAGCTACACTAAAAATCTTCTGCGGGTTAATTTCAGCTCTCCCAGTAAAGCCACCACGGGAATAAGGCTCTGGACTCTAGAAGATTTACATCGCCTACTCCGAGAGAGAGAGTCTCTCTGGGACTCGGGCAAAAAGGATACTCAATCCCCGCAATGCAGTAGAAGATCTCTTACAAGAGGCTTTCTCAAGCGCTTATCCTCCTCATCGCCCATTCGAACCACAGCCACCGCGCCTATGCCGCCCAAGAAGATTCAAAAGACCGGGAGAGGACATGCAACTCAACAGGAGCACAAAGATCCAGGCATCAGCTCTCGCGCTGAGATATTATTGACAAATGATGGAACGCCGTCAGAATACGCACATCGACAGGAGGAGTCCATGCCGAACATCATCACAGACTGGACCACTCCAACAAAGTCATCTAAGTATATATTATCCGGTGAAAACGGTCAAAATAAAAAGCCTAATAAGACAGATCCGCCATATTCTGGGCGCAAGAATCAAGTGCGCCGTCAGGTTTCCTGCGAGGCTCAATCAAACTCATTTTTTGTCGCTTCGAGCGGACTTAACGAAATCATCGATGACTGCTTCCCTTTAAGTCCCAGCAAGGTGGACTATGCTGCCCTTGAAGCTGTGTGTGATGCCATTTTGGCAACCGAGTCAGACTTCTTCCAATCTTTTCAGGAACATTTCCAAGATATTTCCACTGCAGGTGTCAAGCCTGGAATTCCAAAACGCAGACCGGAGAGTGCTCTGGAAAGAAAGCCTTCAGCTAGGGATAGACATGAGGACACGCATGGCTACGCAAATGACAATCGGACAAGCTACGACTTGTCAAGCAAGACAGAGGATAGGTCGGGGAAAACCCTTGCAAGCGATGCGGTGAGAGATGCGCCTTTCTCAATGTACCTTAGGACAGCCTACACCGGCGGTCTGTTCACTGAGAATGAGATAATGCAAACTCAGGCTGAGTTTACCACCCATGTAGAAGGCTGCTTGGAATGCAGGCTGCTACAAGGCTCTGGCTTGCATTGCGAGCCCACAGGCTTACAAACTGACATCAGCGATGATCTGGAAGGATTTTGGCAGCGAAGGATGTTATATTGACGATGTGCTATAATTTGTCAACTCTTACTCCCCAATATCTTGTATTTGGTATTTTGATGGGAGGATTTTGCATCTATTGGAGCCAAGCTCGAATGTATTTGGAAGTGAGAATGCTTGCCACGATTATTTGAGGAGATGAGGGTATCATGTATTCCTAACTTCTGGGGAACATTCAAGATCAACTGAAGATCAAAATAACCAAGATATTAGTAAATTAGAAGGGTTCAGAACGGAGCCAGCCTGTGGCAGGTGAAATTGATTAACCAGTGCCGTTCAGTCTACCATGACCCCGTGCCTCTGTAGATAGCCCCATGTTTGTTCATTAAGCTGGGATGCATTTTCGGCCATAGCCCTGGAGAGCAGCCTGTCAGACCCCGAGGGCACGGATGGAGTCACCCGGTGTCATTGTGTCCGTGGGTCATGTCATAAGCTAAGTATCACCTTATTAAACGGGGCTGGGCTTTTAAGCTTGATACATCAACACAAATCTGGTTGAGAATTCTCCCAGTTTACTCCTATCCCTTCCATCAGTCTAGATGAAAAGCGAGCCGCATTCTCTGCTCTCCTGGGCTTTGAACCCCTCCACATGTTAAATTCAACAGTGATCGGCACTGTAATGACCACAAAAGAGCATATTGCTTTTTTCTTACTGCGGGATAAAGTGACATTTGTGATCAGAGGCTCAGTACAATGCTATGAAGTGCAACCCTGGTACCAACAGCCTTGCAGGGGGACCTCAAAGCGACAGGGCTATCCTACTACCCTTCCCCGGCTGGACCAGGTTGTCTTCTGGGTATAATGATGGAGCAAACCAGATCCTTGAATGATTACGCCAGCTTGCAGGAGAATGGGGGAACGTAGCAGGATTTTAACAGGTGTATACGTAAATGCATGGGAGGGAGGGCATGCAGTACAGGAAAATCAGGCAGAGAGACTAAGTCATCAGGCAATAGGCAACAGCCAGGGGGTGGATGTAATGGGGCTCATTTGCTGAGTTGACTGGATGATAGAGCCGTCAAAACAGAAGTACTATGCGTCTGGGGGAGCTAGACCGTGGACCGGACTGCAGCAGACCTAACCAGGTAGTCGGGTCAAACACGCTTGCAAGGAAGGGTATGGACAATGAGGAAATGAACTGCACACGGAGCTGCAGGAACCGACCTGTCGGGATGTCTTTGGTTTGTCGCACTTGATTTCCGGTGGGGGATGAAAGGGACTGTAACGCTTCTCTGGGAATGGTCTGGCTGCATGTGTAGGTATTGAGACCCAAGAATTCGTTGGGCTGTGAACTGAGCTTAGGGCTGATGTTGTGCGTGTTCTTTGTTGCTTGCTCGTTGCTTTTTCCTTCTTGAGTCTTTGACTTCGAGGATGTTTGCAGGACTCAGACCAATTACTTAGGTAAAATCTTGAGTGTAGTCTTTCTCCAGCAATGGCCTTCATGGTGTCAAGCCATCGAACGATGTCGCCCTACCTCTATAATTCAGATATATGGATTATCAGTGAGCCACATCTATGGCTTCGGAGTCATCAACGAAGGATCTAAGCCACCGCCAGATTTGCAATACAGATCTGTGTGACCAGCTGAAATGTCAGCGGCAACAAAAAGTAAATTCGCCGCCGATCCGGACCCGAGAACCAGGAAAAGGACTCGGACGGGGCTTGCATGTCCATCCATGCAGTGTTTCAAGTCGAGGAAGCATAAGACCTGAGGCTCTGATAGGCCCGTCAGAACTGTCTAATCCTTACCGTAAGTCCAGGAGGAATGGTCCGCCAAGCCATATGTGCAGATTTGATGGTCTGCTATCACTTTCTAGTTCAGCCAACACGAAAAGCAGCTGAGGGGATATCCGCTTTGGGGCGTGCATTACCGCTTATCTTTGGTTCTTAGGATATCTTCTCCGCGGAGAAGAATGAGATTGCTAGATCAAGCGTATGTGCCCGCGTGTGTACATCCTCAGGTACTATTGTCTGTTGTAGAGAGGCGTTGTCGCAGGACATTGTGGCTTTGAGCTCGCTGGCCTCATTCATGCCAGTGTCATTCTGTTTGTCCCTGTGGTTGGGTCAGTCACTAGTGGAGAAGTGTCAGAAGTACGCAAGTACTTACCTTGCATCTGCGAGCCTTCGAAGACAGGTCCTTAAGCTGACTTCGGCTGCGCTGCGCAGCTCAAGATGAACTCGCTACGTGGGCTACGTGGAGGAGTTAAACCCACAAAGGAAGGAGTCGTATGATACAATAGTCTTACCTCTTTCTTACCTCCAGAGGTACAGATCAACTTTGGCTATCGGTTGACCGTTCCATTAAATCGACTTGATGCAATGGCTTGCTGCACTGTGCTGTGTACACATCCCCGGCCGAAGGGTGGTTCGAAGCTCGTCAAAAGTCTCGTATGGGACTTTAGTGAGTGCTTGGCTGAGCGCAATTGGATCAGCTAGGGCATATGGGGTAGGGGAAGAGAAGCTAATGCATTTGTTCATTGTGTCCGGGGGTGGTATAAAGAGGTACGGCGAGCGATGGGAGGAAAAGCACGGAAAATAAAACCCAAGGCAAAAGAATGGCCAACAAACATGACCCTCCTTCAGCTCAAACGGCAGCCGCGACTCAAGGTCCAGGCTCGACTTCATTCCCGGCGCCATTGATCGAGCGCAATCTCGCCATTCATGAGGAACTCAGTGAAATGGTTTGCTTGCCACTTCCCTCTGCCTCTCTCTCCTCTCATTATACGAAACCTTCCGTCTTATACCTACCGTACCACTAACATCCCAACTCAGCACGCTCAATCGGAGTCTACCGTGCCATCATGGATCGACTCTCTCATCGCAGAAGAACGTATCCACGCTTACTACTCCCAGCTCGGCGTTTCTCTTTGCGAGCCCCCGACTGTTGCCCACCATGATATCGAGTCAGATCTGGAGCAGCTCCGCCAAGTCGACTACGCTTCTTCCACCAAGCAACAGCCGAATGTCCGATTCGCTGCTAGCTCGAACAACCAGGTTACTGCTTCCCTGAAGCTTTTTGAGAGTAAAGTTGCCCTGGATCAGACCAACATCCGCCACGAAACCCCGCTGGAGCGCTTCCTCACGCCGGGATACAGCGATCCGTGCTTCTATGCGCAGCCTGCACTGGCCCAGGCGGGCATCCAGCTGGGGAGCTTGGAGGGCAAGGAGAAACGGAAGCGAATGGCGAGGGAGAATGTGGAGCGTGTCGTCTCTAGGAGGGTGGACTCGTCACCCTAACACTCTTCTGGAGTGTCTCGCGTGCATGTTCTCTATCCGTTTCTTATGCCACCGGAGAGATGTCCTCTGTGCAGTACGCCGGACCAGATATCTAGTGCATGCCAAAGACTTGGATAAGCCCTAAACAAGGCTGATATTTGGGGTATACCTTTCTCAATAAACAAACAAATATGCTATGCTATAAACTCAACACCGAAGATCAGACCAGTTTGTCCCAGAGGAACATCTCCGATTCACTGGACATTTTTAAAACGCAAGATATATCCAAGTGACCACGCCCCCTCAAAAAGCATCTGAGGGGCTGCTCCGCGAAAAGGGAAAGGTTCGCCTGATACCATCGCGAAACTCCTTTCACTACAAGGATAGGTTGCTGCAACATAATGGGCCCTCGGATATAGACAGCACGAGATCCCCTTCTCGTATATAGAAACTCCGCTTTGTTTCCACAATCGCTTATAGAGGGGAGAGAGCGCCCACAGCCCCGGCTCCCTTGAAAGCAGCCTTATTGCTTACAACCACTTCAACGGGGTACTTCCATTCCATGAATCTCGTCCAACCTGCATAAAGTATCAGCACCTCATTCCGAGACAGGTGAAGGGGGTCCCTAGGCAACTTACTCCAATAAGCGCATTTCCGGCCCAGATATTTCCCCACGAACGGAACAAACACCATGGTCAGGAGCATCTCTAACTGCTCCAGACTTTCGCGCCATTCCTCCTCCGCGTCGGAGTAGTCTGAGAGGGTATCGAGGTCGGAGACGGAGGTGCTTTCGGAGGGGAGAGAGGCGATGTCGTCGTCGGAGGCGGAGGAGTAGGATCGGTCACGGGAGGAGACCATGTAGGCGGAGGTGGTGAGGGAAGGGTTGGAGGCGGAGGGCGAGGCAGACATTTTGACGGTGGGAGGGTCTTTGGTGATTCGATCGGGTTTCAAGGTATAGAGTACTAGGTAGCAGATTGCGTAGTCTCGATAAAAGGTGCGGGGATGAAGTGGGTGTTCGTGTTTATTGGTATCGTCGGAGGTGGTGGTAGTGGTTGACAAAGGTATGCAATGGTGTCAATCGGGAATATTCGCAATCAAGCAGTGGCCTGCCTACCGCCTGAGCAAGGATTTCAGCATGAGCCAACTTTGGTCGAATGTGAAGGTACAGCAAGGGTATCCGAAGGATAGCAACGGATAAGGCCTGGAGCTCGGCGACGGTAGTTCTTGTTCAGTGACGAATCGGGTTGGCGATGGTCTGATGTAATCATTCAGGGGACTGAGGCAGAGAGGCAGCAAGGCAGCAAGGCAGTGACAACAAGGCAGCCAGCTCAGCATTGTTGTGGCCTGAGGAGGCGAGCGATTGACAGTACGGTAATGTAAATACGGTCCTGAGTCACCGGTTGGCTGTCACGTGAGAGGACCCGCGATAACGAGAATCGCCATCTCGCAACCCAAACCAGCAACAACTCAACGGCAGATCTAAGAAGATTGACCTCATTATTCGCTGCAAAAAGTAATCATCCTGTCCCTCGAATTCTGATTCTCGGACAGTGCTGTTCTGCGACGCGTTAGACCGAGAAACCTTTGAATATCATAAGCGCCGAGCCAATATGGCGGACACTGTACGTCACAAAGCCCGTTTTCCCTTTACCGATTGCCCTCCCACATTTTCTTCATCCATTTCATACCCGCCGCCGCTGCTGCTCTCCAAACCACCTTCGTCTTTGCCTGCATCAAACAACCCTCTTCCTTCCCCAGCTCCTGTCGGTCACGTGGTGCTGGTAGTCAACGAGCAGTGCTATCCCTGAGAGTCTTGCTGTCAGGGCTTTTTCATTGTCCACTTTCACATAATTTCGGTGCCCCGCTAACCTGTTGGGCTGTCCGGTTCCCCGATTAACAGGTCGAACCCAAGCAACGCAAGTCCGTCGCATTCAGTGAAGGAGACGTCATCATGGATACCAACGGCGAAGTCACAGAGACCCCTCAGGTCGAGAAGCCCGTTGAGGCTGCTGAGGGTATGTCCTGATTCCTCCCCCCTCCATGGCCGGGACGATTGTGCTGTCCAACTCCCGAAAAATCTACGCGACCGCCTCAAGCTAACACACTCTCTTCCCCGAGAAACAGACAAGTCCGTCGACGAGGTTACCGAGCTCTTCAAGGGCCTGTCAAAGAAGAAGAAGACCAAGAAGCCCAAGGACACGGAAGCCGGCGAAGGCGATGAGGCCTCCCCCGCCGGTGACGGCGAGTTCGACGTCTCCGCCCTGAAGAAGAAGAAGAAGTCCAAGACCAAGAAGGTCGACACCGACGACTTCGAGGCCAAGCTGGCCGAGGCCGGTGTCACCGCCGCTGCCGGCGCCGGCGAGGAGAAGGAGGAGGAAGTCCCCGAGGGCGACCACGAGGCCGGCACTGGCATCTGGGCCCACGACGCCACGCAAGCCATCCCCTATGCGCTCCTCGTCTCCCGATTCTTCTCCCTCATCCAGAGCCACCACCCCGACCTGCTGTCCAGCGGCACCAAGTCCTACAAGATTCCCCCGCCCCAGTGTCTCCGTGAAGGTAACCGTCGTACCATTTTCGCCAACATTGCCGATATCTGCAAGCGCATGAAGCGGTCCGACGACCACGTCATGCAGTTCCTGTTCGCCGAATTGGGTACCAGCGGTAGTGTCGACGGTTCCCGTCGTCTGGTCATCAAGGGTCGTTTCCAACAGAAGCAGATCGAGAACGTCCTGAGAAGATATATCGGTTTGTCTTCCTTCCCATTTCTCCCTTACTTCTCTCTCTTCAATCACACTTCCTCATTGCTACATATACGAATTACCACTAACTCCTGGATAGTCGAATACGTCACCTGCAAGACCTGCCGCAGTCCCGACACCGAGCTCAACAAGGGTGAGAACCGTCTATACTTCGTCACCTGTAACTCTTGCGGTTCCCGTCGTTCCGTCGCCGCCATCAAGACCGGTTTCCGTGGACAGGTCGGTCGCAGAAAGAGACAGGGTTAAACGATTCAAAAGCAGGGAATTTAATTTATTTTTCCCCCACCCCAAAGAGGTGCGGAGGAGACGACAAGGAAAGGGGCGGAGAAACGAAAGAAAGAAAGAAAGAGGGTTTTTGTGCGTTTTCTCCTATGGAATCTATGGGTTTTTGTGTGGCATGGTTCCCTTCTTTACTTTTTTTCCCCGCTTTTACTTTTCCTTGCCTGCCTCTCTTTACTTCTGGACACGGTTATGATTTCATATTCCCACACTTTCCCCCCCAAATTTTCTATCATCCTCTCGTATACAAAGAGCTTCTTACTTCTCCTCACCTTTTTTCTCTTTTTGGATTGATGCATCCTCGTTGTTTGAGGATCGTGTCGGTGTGTGGATGATTGGAGGTTATGTGGAGTGACCGTTAAGTCTCTTATGACTGTTGCTGTGCTAGGGGTGGTTTGAAGGTTTGAGGAACTGTAGAGAAAAGCAAGGGGAGAGTTGAGAAATTGAGGATGGTTTTTTTCAGCATGGCATGACTAGCTAGCATGGAATGGTAGGTGAATGGACTTGGTATGCTCTTCTCACGAGAACTACTTTTGGCAGTATTACTCTACTCGTAGCTACCGAAGAACTTGGGCATTATGCGTTATCTCATGGGAAGGAAAATCAGTACAATGCAAGTATATTGTCACACTTTGGCAAATTCCCAATTGTCAAGCCAAGCCAAACACGCTCAAATGATTCGGTCAAGATAGGTATCAAAATGAAAGAAGACATGCAACAACTACCTCCGAAGGAAGTAGTAGGGAAAGAAGAAACGGGGCGGCACACATAACGGATACACTGCACGATCAAACGCCCTGCTAGCCAGCCAGCCAGGATCATCCACTAGCGGTGCTGGCACCGATCTGCGCCGCAAACGCGTTGACATTTCTGGTCTGCAAGTACACCGTCCCAGGCCCGGCGAACCGACACGCCAGACCCTCGCCGGCCGCCAGGCCGGAGATGATGCCTCCCGACGCGACGCGCTCGATCTTGTACTTGCAGTTCCAGGCTACCAGGTGGCCGTTGTCGACTAGGTAGGATTCGCCTTCGGGGATCTGTGGGTCATTGTTAGTAGCTGAGCAGTGAAACTTTGAATAAGTAGCCCGGGTGTCCGGGGGTTCAGAGCGTGGATTGGGTGTAGGGCATAAAGGGGGTGGGTGTGTGTGTATGTGTGTGTTTGTGGAAGAAAAGACATACATCCTTCTGGATAATAGCCCCGAAGCTCTGAATCCAGATGAGGCCCACGCCTTCCATCTTGTAGATGAAGAACCCTTCACCGGAGAACATGCCCTTGGTGAGCGACTGGGTCTGGTATTCTTTCTTGATGCCGCTCGTGGAAGCCAGGAAAACGTCGCGGCCGCATTTCCACGAGTCGGAGCCGGCGAGCCGGAGGACCATGATATCGCCCAGCGTGGACGGGGCAAGGAGGACCTCGCCGGGGCCGGTATACGTGGACAGGGAAAGTTTGCCGCCCGCGAGGACTTTTTTCAGAGAGAAGCGCATACTGCCCCTAAGTGTTACGAGTTCGGACATCGCGATCATGGCCCCTGTTGAGAACGTTGTCCTTGGTTAGCTAGTGACTCGACGGCATTTGCTAGAATGATTGCGTAGGCTTCTGGTTTGGAGGGGACGTAGTATTGAGAAGGCTTACCTGGTCTTGCCTCGATGGGGCATCCCATGGCCAGCTGCAAGGTGAGTACAGAGTTCGTGTCCCGGTGGCTGATTCGGTAGCTTCCGCCGTTGAATGTGCCGACTTCGTCCGCAGTGGAAGAGCTTAGGAGCTGGTTGAGATGAAGAGGGCCGCCGGCGGCTCTCTCTGTCTCTACGACGCTCGGGGGTGGCTCCGAGGACGGTGTTTCCGGCTGTGCTGTATAGCTGGGCGCTGCCTGAGGCGCATTGTTTATCCCGACGTTCGCTGCATAGGCGCCTGCAATACTCGTCTTCTCGGAGAGTGAAGAAGACGTCTGCGCGCGAGGAGGAGGAGGGTAGCTGAACGATGGCGGTGGAAAAGACGGCGATCGTTGCGCATTCGGCTGGTATACTACAAAGCGTCCACCATATATGAGTCAAGGCTCTTGTCAATGGATGTGGGAACCCATGTTAATCAAGTGCTGGCGTACGTGTAGAAGGCGGAGCACCCGGCGGGGCTGATAAAAGTGGTCGCATTAGCATTCGGGCTGATTATCGTTTCGAGGGCACAGATATACTCACGAGGGAAATGGGGAGGAGGTTGCTGGGCTTGTGCTTGAGGCATTGTAGTCGCCATTATGCTTCTATCGACAATCTGTCGCTTGTCTCATGCAAGCTGCACTTCGAAAAATGAAAGGCGGTTCTTTATCCGCCCATACTGCAAGGCAAATGTCGCAGTTTTAATAGTGTAGAAACAGCTCGAGGCATGCGTGGTTTGATTGCTGTAAGCGCCGAGGCCCTCTTAGCCTTGCATGCTGATTGAACCAAACGGTGATCGTGGGCGCTTAGGGCAGTTAGCCTGTGAAGGCTGTGATAGGAGCTGCATGCGGAGGATGGTCTTGGACGAGTGCAGACAAGGGAACCATGCGCCCAATCGTTAGAGGAGACCTCTTGGTCTTAACCCCTCAGCGTCAATATTTATCCCATGCTCCATCCGGACTTGTATGTTCGACACACATCCATGCGGCAGAAGAGCGGGGTAGAAATGCAACCACTTGTGCACCCGACCACGATATTTCTATTGACCTCAAATCGTCGTCTGCCAGTTCGATCGTCTCGCAGCGATTTGGCCATGGCAATTGCTGTACTAGAATGGAATCTCAAACTAGCCGGCTATATTTCTTTGAGAGTATTCCTGGACAATATTCGGCACGGTGAGTTGCCAGGGAGGCCGTCTTGGTCGCATGAATTTCGTCTGAGATTTAGTCGTAAGCGTGGCAAACTCGAGATCCACTACATTGGCACGATCGTCTGTTGCTCTGAAGGGCCCCTGTCAGCTCCAATGGGGGAGAGGACGCTTGTGTAAGGTTTGGCGTCAACGACGCAATGCAACACAATAATCAACCGATATGCAGGAAGAATAGGAGAACACAAGAATATCATTATGATGATTGAGGTCTTTCTGTGTGTCTAGTTAGTTTGTTAGTAACTTAAATTACTATATGGAAGTAAACCTTCACGAACCTGTAAGGAGCAAGGCCATAGCTGATCATGCTTGATTCCTTTGCATTCGGCTGACGCCAGCAGGTGCTACTATCCATCAACCTATCTCAATAATAGATTCTTGAACATCTGGAATATCCGTAAGTATTGTAGGAGGCTTGGCCAGAGCTTTGAAGGGGACTAAATATAAATGGTAGGAAAGGCAGAGAGAACCTGAAGAGAAGTGCGCGACAAGTGCAGTGGGTAGTCCACAGGCAATTGGAAGCAGCCGCCGGCAAGCTAGACTCCTATCACGAGCTGGAGCTTCAGCCTCCTTCCAGCGAGGCTATGAACATGGCGCCTACGGGGCTGAGTTGGCCATCAGTGCCTGTTGGATTTGTTCATTGAAAAGGCCATGGGGCTGTCAATTTGATTAATAAGGCCCACTTTGAGGTGAATGGTTTCTATTCACCTAATCATGTCGATACAATTGACCCTGTTTGCTTTGCTCGTCAGCATACCCAGCGCCCGAGCAACAGGTTGGGACGACTTCACCGATGATCTGGCAACAGATTTGGTGAGTGTGTGACAGCTCCTAGGATGGCGACTGTATAGTAACCGTGTCCACCCAGGCACCTCTGATATCCCTATTCGGCGATCGACTGAGCAAACAATACCTCTCCGAGTCAATCAGCATCCTAGACAACTTCATATTCGCCGTTTCGCCTCTAGGCATTCTCACAGCTGTCATCTCCGCTATTCGTATCTGCGGGAACGCCTCGCTAAGGGCGTTCGTGGGTCGAGCCCAGGAAGGTCCCGGAGAAGCAGAGAATGAACTGTTGTCCTGTGTCTCCGAGACCACTGCAGAACTTTTCAACCACGGGGGCATATCGAGAGTCCTTGGGCGACCTCGAATATTAGAGATCATTGTATGGGAGGAGATAGATCCTCAGACCCAGCAACGCTCGTACAAAATCGCGACTCTGCGGGACGCGCTTCAGACCGGTGCCTGGGTGGCCGGAGAAGGCCAATGGATTCTCGATGGGAAAGAGTACTTCGTCGAGCTCGACATAGCCAATCTCTCCTTGAACAAGGGAATTGCAAGAAGAAGCCAGGGGTGGTTCTATGCAGCAGCAGCACTGGGATTTCTGTTGCAAGTGGGTGAGTAACGGCCTTCGATTCGTCCCGGTTTAGTTGTGTCCTAACCATCGAGTCTCTAGGCGTGCTGATATATTCTGCTATAACCGTTTTCTCATATCCGAGTCATTTTTTGAAAGATGGCAGCCCAGTTGTTGATTATGCTTTCCCATTATTCTTCTCGGGTACCATGCTGCTCAGCATTGGAATGTTCTTCTGCGCTTTCCTCATCCAACGCTCCTCGGCCAAATGCTACATCCGCCCTACCGTCCCCAGCAAAATATACTGGCTGCAGCCAGGAGACCAAGATGTCGGAGACCAAACCTTCGGTGCTTATTTGGCTGTCAACGAAGGGTCTGGCGGGGGGGCTAGCAAAGACCTCCTGTACATCAAATCAGTCAGGAGTCCCATTAGATCTACGGAGCGGCCACTGCTGGCGCTCGCGGTGACCACGGCTGTCGTTGGCTTTGTGACCCAGTTTGTGGGCTTCCGCGGGCTTCATGCATCGGTGATTCTTGCACAGGTGGGCTCGACCTTTCTAATGTCAATCGTGAGAGCCTCCCTCCGGACCAAAAGATCCGAATCAAATGAAAGTCGGTTCACGGATCGAGAGACAGGTTTAGTCTCTCATAGAAAGCAAGAGTTAGACTGTTTTGCATTTCACCTCGAAGGCATTCGAACATTTGAGTTGGTGGTCAATGAAGTTTCTGCGTCTCCGTCGCAGGCGCATGTCAATCAGACTTCCGGTACGGGATCTACCAACCAGGGAGCACAAAAGCATAGCCCGGGGACCAGAGCTATACAGACAAGGACACGATTAGCTCAGCTGATATCTGAGGGAAGCCATGATGGCATGAGGTGGGATGACTTGCCTATCAGGCAAATAGCTTGCAATCTAGCGAAAGCGATTACAGGGACGATGGATTTATTCTCGGAATGGAAGCACATTACCAAGGATACCTACTCCTTCGACCTTCGGTTCCAATGTCAAGCCCACAATAGTGGCAACAGCAATGCTACTAATTCGGTCTCTGAAACTTACCCTATCAGACTTGTTAGGTCGGAGGAGACTTTACAGTGGGAAATCGATATCACTGCGCTAGAAGCAGTGCTAGGACTTTGGACATGGTCACTGATCAAGACCGACCCGGGATATCTCCAGAGTGAACTTGTCCGTGCCGTAGGACTGAATGAAAAGGAGGCTTCAGAGGAAGATACCGACTTACTGTTCCATAAGTGGATGTTTCGCCATATCGAAGCGCAGATGGTTCCTGCAAAGGTAATCAGCTTCCACAACCGACGGTTCGGTCTTCTCCTCCACACAAGTTCGAACAGCAAGAGTATACTTGCTGTGAGAACCAACGTCGGGGTGGAAGTTACGGCTGCCCAGGAGATCTATATAAAGTTCCTCCAAAGCGTCCTGCGCGAAGTCACGGACTTCGGCGGCCATGTTGAGTTACGCGCAGGATCACAGAGCGGGTATATGGCTTTCAGTAGTCGCCTGGATTCACTCGCGGCGGTCTTTACAGCAGAAAGATTGGGTCTCACTGAAGACGCCTTGCTGTGCATTGTACCAACTTTGAAGCATCATAGTCTCTTGCCAAGGTTGGCAGGAGACTCAGAAGGGGTGCAACACTATATCCATAACAACATCGTTGCCCAAAAGTGGACAGAAGCTTTTGCCGCCCTACACTGGCTGTGTGAGCGTTGTGATGGAGTCGAGTTCGAACATACGTTACACGAGCTAGGCTATCTGTGCCGCCGGGCTATGGTGCACTTTGACTCGAAGACACAGGCGGAGGGCTTCCAGAATGTTGTTCGTTTGCTAGAACGAGACCCCAGAGCAAACCTCCGAGCTCGTCTGAGGAGCTCGCGCTCAGATAGTTGGTTGGACGTCAGCAGACGCCCTGAGCGCTGGAAAGCCATCTCGCTTCAGCTCGGGTGGCTAGCATGGCACACAGCCGAAAGATACCGCGACAAAGACGCCGTCCAAAGCGCACTCAGCGCTCTCGGGATCTCAAGCGATAGCCTGCCCATCTCAAGAGCATCCGACCAGGACGAAGAGGCCAGCACCGGCTCGCAGGCCGTTCTTCGGTGGTTGATCCACGGCGACGTGTTCACCCGTGAGTTCCTCGGAGTCGAAGACCAGCTCGCGCTGGACTGGGTCGTCCACAACGAGCATCATGCGCTCATGCAGTGGCTCATCATCCGATGGACCGAGTGCCAGCAACAGTGCCCTGGGCTGATCCATCATGTCATCATGTGGGCCGCCGAAAAGGGGTATCAAGATACCATCAACGCCCTACGCCGACGCGGCATCAGCCTCGACTCGAAGGAAGAGTCCGATGACGGACTGACACCCCTGATCAAGATGATCGCGACGGGGAGCCACGCGGCCGTCGAAGTGCTGCTCGACGCGGGCGCCTACATTGACGGCCCGGATGCCAGGGGCGCAACGCCGTTGATGGCAGCCTGTCATGTCGGGGATCTCGCAAGCGTCTCGCTTCTCGTCCGCCGAGGGGCCAATTTGAATGCCCAAGGCCGAAACGGCCTCACTCCGCTCCTTGCGGCAACATCTGGGGATCACCCCGGTGTGGTCCGGCTGCTCTTGGATCATGGCGCCCATGTTGACATGGGGTATCCGTTGCTGGTCGCGGCCTCGGAGGACCGCGTGGAGTTGATGAAGGTGTTGTTGGAAGGTGGCGCAGATGTGGATGTACAGACGGAGGACGGCTGTACTGCCCTGATGCTGTCGGCTCGGAACCGGTGCACTGCAGCGATGAAGGTCCTCCTGGATCGTGGTGTTGACGTCCACAAACATATGTGGAGTGGCACCACGGCCTTGGACTGGGCGCGAGAAGTACAGCATGCAGAGGGTGTTGAGCTGCTGGAGCAAGAATTAAGAAAGGACTCGTAGTTCTAAATCTAGTTTGCATGCATTGAGGCATTGCCGGGTCTATGCATATTCGAGTAAAATGGAATGCTGCCTAGCAAATTCATTGGAGATTATGATACTGATGTGAGATATCTTCAGAATTCTATTCTCCTTAAAACACATTCACACAGACCACTATTACGTTGAGCACTTGTATTGACTCTGTCTGATCACGGATATTCAGCGCTCCATGAAGCCTATAACTAACCACCTGTTCCAATTGGGTCTCACTAAAGCGAATCACGAATCAGGGAATTCAAAGAGAGTATAATGATAAGAATCAGAAAAACAACCACCAACGCCAATCACGTAAACAGACTGGATTAGACGATAGAAAGCACACAAGGGTAATCTGCAATGTGTCTCAGACCCTTTCTTGAAGCTACCGACTTTGACAAAGAATTAAAAGATGCTGTTCACAATGTTCGAACCAATGGTCGCGCCGGCACCGAAGACAGCTAGAGTGTATCGTCAGCAATCAACGATTGGAAAAGTATATAATGATAGAAAAGCATCGAGACTGCTTTCCTTAGACAAAACTTACCGGCATTACCCAGTTTCTTGCCGAACTTCTTGCCGTGTTCCTCGAATTTGCCCTTCTTGGCGGGGTCCCCATCAGGCGTAGAGCCACTTTGGCTCACTTCCAGAGGCATGTTTCCATAGTTGGTGGGCGGGGGAGACGAGACAGCCTTCTCTTCAATCACGTCGACATAGCTGCGGGGGAAGATACCCTCGAGGTTGGTGCGCTCGTTACGACCACGCCACCCTATATTAGTTGTTAGAAGTTTCGCCATTGACGGGAATATACAGAGTCCTTACAATCTGCGTTCATGTGTTCCAAAACATGGATACGGTCACGCGGCTGCAAGGCCAAGTCGCCGGGGTCCGTCGGGGTGTACGCATACAGAGCCGAGGCGATAGACAGCACGGGCGGGGCCTGGGGATAAGCAGGAGGCGGCGGGACGGCCGGGCTGGCGTACGGCTGCGGCGGAGGCTGCGCTTGGTATGTCGCCTTCTCGTTCAACGAGGCATTGGCAAATTGGTTGACGGGAGGAGAATAGGGGGCAGGAGATGGTTGTGTCTGGATGGGCAGCGGCGCCACTGGCTGCGGCTGCTGGACTGGCGGTTGCTGAGGGGGCACCGAAGATCTACTGCGCTCGTTCTCTTTCGGCAGTTGCGATAAGATCGAGGAGAGTTGTGCACGAGTGATGACTGAGGAGTCGGCTAGAAATTCAAGCTCCTACAGACAGTTCTTGAGTCAGTAATCCCAGTACCATCCCAGTTATGATTTGACCGCAGGGTGTTCAAAGAGGCGAGGAGATTCAAACTAACCGATCGGACGTTGCGGAGCGACCGGTTGGCCACGGCCGAGAACAGATCGCCTTGGGATGCCATGACAGGCTATAGGAAGCGAGTTCGAGTGATTTAATGGCAATAAGCCACGACTAAGCAATCAAGAATGTGACTCGATTTGAAAGGCAGAAGAAGCGCTGGAAGAAAAGAGTGGACAGGAAGATGGATGTTGAAGATGAGAGGCAAATAATAACAGACGAGACGATTAATGGAGTTACTGAATAACGGATGCATTGGCCGCAGTCTCCAGTTGGTCCCTCCCCTTCTTACTCAGATTTGGTACCTGAGGCCGCTTCCACCCAGTGGCACCCACTCATTCAGAGGGGTGACCTCAGCCCTTTTGGTTGTTTGATTGGCCCCGCGACATTTAGCTTGTCTTGTCATTCCAGGCACCTTTATTATCCGTCTGTGTTTTCGATATTGCAAACCCTACCTGGTCCTTGAGGTTGGACGCTTGATGCTGGAAAGGGGCAAACTCTAGGTAGTGCTCGGCAGTTCCACTTATGGACTGGGGCTCAATGAACTTGATGCTGCTCGTCGAAAGAAATGACCAGAGCCATCTGCCAAGGTTCAGGCCGACATGCTCCTCAACCTGTTACGTAGGAAAAGCAGTGTCTCGCTTTTTCTCTTGGCCACACCTCAGATGTGCTATTCTTGGAACTTTATCCTGTTTCAATTGATCTGTTGAGATACGTACAATCTTTGCTCCACAAGTGTATTGAAAATTCTCAATCGCTCCTTGTTGCACATCAAGGCACTAGCCTGTTATGTATAAGCAAGTACTTGTACTTTGATTTATGTGATCTAGACTATGCTTAAATCAGCATAGATATGATTCAGCAAGGAACTATCTTGGCTATCTAAGCACATATAACGCAGAGCTATTTATTACTGTCTTAGCAGAGTAAAGTAAAGAGCGAATCCTTGCAATCCTCCTTATTGGCTTGCCCAACCCTACAGTGCAAGATATATGAAGACATACTAGCTAAGTGGAATCCTCAGTGTCAAGAGCTACAGCTACAGCTACAGTCATCCGTGTATTGACTCTTGGATTCTCGCTAACCCTTCTCTCTCTAACTACACCGTATAGCGCTGCAAATGTTTCGCACAACATCTGCACCTCTGCCCTCATCAGCTAGGAGCGAGGCGTGGTTGACTGAGTGCTGGCGGCCCGAGCTATCTCGATAGATACTGGATTCAGAGGGCTTCAAACCACTTTTTTGACAGCATAAGTAGTCCATTGCTCATCTGTGTGGAAGATTCGTTCTTCTACATGCTTGTAGTGAAAGCCATTTAAAATAATCCTGGTTGTGGGAAGTTTATATATCCGAGTGTAAAGGTGTGATACTCTGAAACAACATGTGAGCCATCAACTGAGCCAGAACAAGCGATACAGATACATAGAAGATAACCGCAAAATTAGACTACAGGCCCGACAAGCCAGAATTGACATGCAGTTGTCCATGGAAACTCGACGCATTAACTGCTGACAATTCAATCGCAGCTTGTGCATTGATTAGACCATAAGTCACAGCCATAAACCTGTATAAACGAAGATGATCTGAAATACACGACAATAAGCGAGCAGCGAGCAAGACTCATACTGACTCACAGTCGCAACCTGGCTATAGTTCGAGTATGCACACTGCCTCGATGTACAACGGAGTTAATAGCCTTCATGGCACATGATGTCAGCAGCGATTAAACCCAATTGAGATTAGCGCCCAGCGCCCCTCTGACTCCGCCATCCCAAGGGCTCGAGAAGCTTCCGTGGCGGCGGTATAAATTCGGCGGGTCTCCAACATCCCTCCTTACAACACATCTCACGCGATCTTTCTCTACCGCCACCTGCTCCTCTCCGCCGAACACACGCTCAATACCATCCTCTCGACAACCCAATTCTCACCACCGTTTCTACACACATATCCAAAATGAGCGACTGGGACTCCGTTACGCGCATTGGAAGCAAGAACCGTGGTGGCCCTGCCATCCGCGAGACCGTCGTCAAGGGCAAGAGTGCTCTGAACGCCGCTCAGCGCCAGGGTCTCGTTATTGGAACTGAGAAGAAGTACGCCACTGGTAACGCTGTAAGTCATTCTCTCTGCTCTCGCTGCACTGGGCAGCCAACCGCCACCCGGACCAAAAACTTTGAAAGGAGGGGCAACCTGTTCTGACTCGGTGAATGTATTTAGGCCGGACGCTCCGGTGCGCCCGAGGGCCAGCACTTGACCAAGGTCGATCGCAGCGACGACATTGTCAAGCCCAAGACCGTCGGCCACCAGGTCGCCGATGCCATCAAGAAGCGCCGTACCGACGAGGGCTACAAGATGACCCAGAAGGAACTCGCCACCAAGTGCAACACCACCGTCACTGTCGTCCAAGACTTCGAGCGCGGCACCGCTGCTCCCGACCAGAAGGTTCTGAGTGCCATGGAGCGCGTCCTCAACGTCAAGCTGCGAGGCTCGGACATCGGAGCAGAGAAGTTCCCCAAGAAAAAGTAAATTGACTCGGGGGTGAGCCCGCGACTTTTTCTTCCGGGGAAGTTTGCATGAAGTTTCTTTGATTTAATTTCATCTTCTCTCTCCTTAATCGGCCTTTTCTTTTCGCTTCGAATCGTCTCGGGTTTCCTCCATCAATCTCGCACTTTTTCTTCGGATGTCACGTCTAACGCACCTTTTTCTTCTCAATGAGATCTCATGATTCTTTTTTTTTACCCATTTTTTTCTCCTTTGTTTATCTGCTGGTCAGAAGAGCGCTGGCCCGGTATTCAAGACGGAGTTCATTTTTATTTTGTCATCCAGAACAAAGATAAAGACTTTCCCTCCGAATCATACAAAATTTGTGATTCTGCTTGGTGGATATTGATACTTCCTGGTTTTATGCATTTTTTCGGGCGCGATAGAAAATGTTGCCTAGCAAATTGACCTCGGAATTCAAATGATATGTTCATGAGCAAGACAAGAAAGATTATGAGCAAGCGAAGTTGGAATCATAGGGGTGTGACAAAACAGTAAAGCAAATAAGGGTTCTTTTTATTAGGACACACAATAGCGACCAGAAATAGGAAATGGTACCAACTCCGACTGTATCATGGAACAAATGAAATATAACTCATGCCCTGAATCGCCTCGAGGTCTTTTCTCGTACCCGCCGCCGTACCGGTTCTTGCCTTTCTACTTTTTGGGGGAGTATAGTGAAAGAAAAGATGAAACTTCGCCTCATGACACATACAAAGGATGCGTAACTGGTTTTAAAAAAGATGCATTCCGAACGTCAAAATCGCCCCTCCTCCGCCTCCTCTCTACTTCCGCAGCTGCTCCCGCTCGACCTCGTACATGAAGTCGAAGTAAGGCTTGTCGAAGTGGTGCACACGAACGTAACCGTCCTCTCCTCCGGAAGCGTAGGCAGTACCGGCGGGGTGGACGTCGACGGTGTTGAGGGGACCGAAGTGACCTCTGACACGGCCGATCTCGTCCTCGAAGACCTTGTGGTAAAAGCGAGCCTCGAATTTACCCTGGCGGGCGGAGGTGGTGGTGACATCCATGGCGGCCTGACCACCACCCAGAATAACGTAATCCTTCTTGGGCGTGATCGTGGCGCTGTTCAAGGGAGTATCGGCGGGGTAGGTCTTGAGGATGGCGAGGTTGCGGGAGGAGATGAGCTGGCAACCGGGTGTTAACAAGCTTGCACGTGTCATGCGAGGAAAATGATAGGGCAAAAGGACACTTACCTTGGCAGACTTGTCCTTGGAGGCGGTGATGAAGTGGGTGCGGTCTTGAGAGAATTGGATGTCGTTGATCTGGTGGTCGAACTCGTGGGCCTGGACGTTCTCCAGCTGCTCACCGGTCTGTGTTCCCCATGCCGTGTTAGCAACTCACTTGCCCCAGTTTCTTGCCAGGGAATTTTCAAGATTCTGTCTGCGCACCTTCTCGTCGTACTGGCTGACACTGCCGTCTTCGTGACCAGCAATGATGTACTTGCCCAGATAACTCCAGCCCGCAACGGTAGCCTTGCTCTCCGTGCAGGTGATCCGCAAGCTGGGCTCATCGGCCTGGTCCTCCAAGTTCTCGCCGTAGCTGATATCGAGGACGGCGATGGTACCCAAGAAACCCATACGCTTCTCCGTCACGGCCAAAAGTCTGCTTCCGTCGGGGCTGAACTCGACCCGCTTCACGGCCGTAGGGAAATCCCACACCTTCACGCACTCGCCGGTCTTGACGTTCCATAGTCGCACGGTGTTGTCTGCCGAACCCGTCGCCAGGAGAACCGTGTTGGGGCTCACATCGACCGTCCAGATGGCACCCTGGTGTCCGTTGTAAGTACCGAGTCTCTCGCCGTTGGCCGACCACCAGGCGCACACAATTTTATCCTTCGACACGGAGAACAGAAGATCGCCATCGCTGTTGAACTTGATCTGAGTCAGGGCACGTTCCTGCAAGAGTGAAAAATGTCAGCGACCACCGTATTCCCCATCCTTTTTCATGATCGGCAAGGTCAAGTGTTTTTGCAGGCGACAGATAAGAGTCTTCGAGCTGGGAGGGAGGAGGATGGCAAAACGCACATGGCCCGCGAGCAAAATAGGCCTCATCTTGAGCCGACCACGCGATGAATCTGGGGAAAGGCGACGGTAGAAAAAGAGCGATGGATCACAGCTGAGGGCGTCTGTGACCGGGAGTCGTATAATACCTGCGTGATGAGGCGGAAATCCTTGCGGGGTGCTGGCGGGCTCACTTCGTCGGCGTCGTCAGGACTAGTTTGAATTTCATCGCACAGTCCGGGCTCGCGCGCCAAGACTTGCCTGATCGAGCCTGTTTTGTCACACGCTGACCGTACCGGAAGATCTATAGTTCCGGTATTGCTGACTACCCTCTCACGTGAGGTGCGCAGCCCTGAGAGCTGTTTTCGAATTGGGCTTAGCTCAACTACCACGTGACCTCAGACAGCCCCTACCCCTTCTGGTCTAGACTACGTGCACTAAGCCTAAGGAAGAAACCTCATTGTTCACTCTAGCGTCAGCCTGAGGCTCCGGCGGCATTCATCGGGGAAACTTTCCCATGGAAAACAAAGGCAGAAAGAACAGAGCAAAGAGTGTCGAGACAGCAAACTCGAGGGTGAATGGTGTTGGGAAAAGGATTTTCTTAGAATAGTTGCTTTGCTTGACTGGCAGTTTAGAGTCTGCTTCATCACAGTCCTTGATTTTTTAGGCATTCTACGGAGTCTTGGGCTGCCTGATTCGATTATTCCAGGTGTTTATCGGTGGATTTCAACCTTTTCCCTATCTGCATCTGAGCTGGCCGAGGAAAGCTGCAGTGGCCGAGAGCTGTGACTCGACCCAGCCCAGTCACCCAATGCCGTTTCCCCCCGCCCGTTCGGCTTCGGCGAGTTTACCCCGCTGTGCTGCTACTGTTGTCAACGCTGAGCGCTCTTATACTCTTTTTCCGATTCAGCTTCACTACACCCCCTTACCTTCCCTCTACCCACGACTGCTCTTCTCTAGACGCGGGGCTAGGTCTTATCTTCGCTGTGCCTCCTCGTCTGCTCATCGCGCCGTGCTAGGTTTCCCGAGGCTCGTCTCCACCCCCTCCTCCTCTTCCCGACGTACCTTCTCGAGCACCCGACCAGCAGCCATGGCAGCTACCAAGATTGATGGCACCCAGATTGCCAAGAACATTCGCGAGGGACTCAAGACTGAGATCCGCCAGATCCAGGAATCCAACCCCAGGTTCAAGCCTAGTCTGGTTATCTTCCAGGGTGCGTCATAGCCCCTCATAATCCCTCCGCACCGTGATCACTCGAGTACTGACCTGGCTTGAAATCTTACAGTGGGCAACCGATCGGATTCCAGTAGGTTTTTCTTTTTTGCCAAATTGGGTCAGTGGTGGAGAGTCGTGGACGCTAACACATAGCCTCAGGCACTTATGTGCGCATGAAGTTGAAGGCTGCCGAGGAGGTATATGCCACCCTGCTCCTACGACTCAACTTATCCTTATGCTAACGAAACACCTCGTACTAGACAAACATCCTATGCAAGATCATCAATTTCCCCGAATCTGTTACACAGCCTGAAGTTCTGCAAGAGATCACCAAAGCCAACAATGACCCCTCGGTACACGGTATTCTGGTCCAACTGCCCCTCCCCAAGCACTTGTCCGAGCACACTATTACCTCCGCTGTCGCGGACGAGAAGGATGTCGACGGATTCGGGGCTATCAACATCGGAGAACTGGCTAAGCGAGGTGGCCGGCCTCTCTTCCTCCCCTGCACGCCGAAGGCTGTCATGAAGCTTCTGCAGGAGAGCGGTATCGACCCTGCTGGTAAGGAAGCTGTGGTCCTTGGTCGCAGTGATATTGTTGGAAGCCCCGTCAGCTACTTGCTGAAAAATGCTGATGCGACCGTCACCCTGTGCCACTCGAAGACCCCCGATATCGCTAGAATTGTGAAGACTGCCGACATTGTTGTTGCCGCCATTGGACAGACTGAATTTGTCAAGGGAGAGTGGCTTAAGCCCGGTGCCGTCGTCATCGATGTTGGTATCAACTACAAGGCCGATGCTACTCGCAAGTCCGGTCAGCGACTTGTTGGAGATGTCGATTATGAGTCCGCTGTCCAGGTTGCCTCTCAGATCACTCCCGTCCCCGGTGGTGTTGGACCCATGACTGTGGCCATGCTGCTGGAGAACGTGGTGACTGGGGCTAAGGCCTATTTCGAAAAGCAGAAGGATAGACACATTACTCCCCTTCCCATCAAGTTGGCCAGTCCTGTGCCCTCCGATATCGCCATTTCTCGTGCGCAGTATCCTAAACAGATCACTCAGCTCGCCGAGGAGATTGGCATTGCTCCCCATGAGCTCGAACCCTACGGTCACACTAAGGCCAAGGTCAGTCTCTCCGTTCTGGACCGCCTGTCTCACCGTCGCGATGGTCGGTACATTTTGGTCTGCGGTATCACTCCCACTCCTCTTGGTGAGGGTAAGTCGACTACTACCCTGGGTCTGTCCCAGGCTCTTGGTGCCCACTTGAACCGCATTGTGTTCGCCAACGTGCGACAGCCCAGCCAGGGCCCTACATTCGGTATCAAGGGTGGAGCTGCTGGCGGAGGTTACAGTCAGGTTATCCCGATGGATGAGTTCAACCTGCACTTGACTGGCGATATCCACGCTATCACTGCCGCTAACAACCTTCTTGCTGCCGCTATCGAAACTCGTATGTTCCATGAGGCCACCCAGAAGGACGGCGCCCTCTACAAGCGCCTGGTACCTGCCAAGAAGGGCAAGCGCGAGTTCCAGCCCATTATGTACCGGAGACTTAAGAAGTTGGGTATTACCAAGACCAACCCGGACGAACTCACCGAGGAAGAGATCCGCCGCTTTGCTCGCCTTGATATCGACCCTGAGACTATCACCTGGCGCCGTGTTCTTGATGTCAACGACCGTCACCTGCGCGGAATCACCATTGGGCAGGCTCCCACTGAGCGTGGTCTTACACGCGAAACTGGTTTCGACATCTCAGTTGCCAGTGAGTGTATGGCGATTCTTGCGCTGAGCAACAGTCTCGAAGACATGCGTGAAAGACTGGGACGTATGGTCGTTGCCACCTCGCGCAACGGCGACCCCGTCACTTGCGACGACATTGGTGCAGGTGGAGCTCTCGCAGCTCTTATGAAGGACGCCATCAAGCCCAACCTTATGCAGAGCTTGGAGGGAACCCCTGTCCTGGTTCACGCCGGCCCCTTTGCCAACATCAGCATTGGCGCCAGCTCTGTCATCGCCGATAAATTGGCCCTGAAGCTTGCGGGTACCGAGCCGGATGAGGACCATGATGCTCGCACTGGCTTCGTCGTCACCGAGGCTGGCTTCGATTTCACGATGGGCGGTGAGCGCTTCTTCAACATCAAGTGCCGGTCCTCCGGTCTGTCCCCCGACACCGTGGTCATTGTGGCTACCGTTCGTGCCTTGAAGGTTCACGGTGGCGGCCCTGAGATCACCCCTGGCGCTGCTTTGCCTGAAGTTTACCGCACTGAGAACGTTGATATCTTGCGCAAGGGTTGCATCAACTTGAAGAAGCACATCGAGAACGCCCGTCAGTACGGCGTGCCCGTCGTGGTTGCGATCAACCGCTTTGAGACCGACACGGAGGCCGAGATTGCTGTCATTCGCGAAGAGGCCATTGCGGCAGGAGCGGAGGACGCGGTCCCCGCCAACCACTGGGCTGAGGGCGGAGCCGGTGCGGTGGATCTCGCCAAGAGCGTCCTCGTGTCTAGCTCTAAGCCCAAGGACTTCAAGCTCCTTTATGACTTGGACGGCACCATCCAGGAGCGGATCGAGCGGATCGGTAAGGCTATGTATGGCGCGGAGAAGGTCGAGTTCAGCGAGCTGGCTCAGAAGAAGGTCGACACGTACACTGCTCAAGGGTTTGGCAACCTCCCCATTTGCATTGCGAAGACGCAGTACTCGCTCAGTCACGACCCGGCTCTCAAGGGTGCCCCGACTGGCTTCACCGTCCCCATTCGTGACGTTCGATTGGCGGTTGGTGGTGGATATCTGTAAGTTCCCCTCTGTTTAGTTGCGCTGTCATGTGGGCCACCCACTGAGTGATTTTTTAGCTATGCCCTTGCAGCAGACATTCAGACCATCCCGGGTCTGCCGACAGCCCCTGGCTACTTGAATGTGGATATCGATCCCGAGACTGGGGAGATTGACGGTCTCTTCTAGACGGGACGTTGGTATGGGCGGTAGACCCGCTTCAGGATCGGAATTGCGGTCTCTGTATAGATTTCTTTTTCTGTTATCTTCTTGATATTCATGATTTTGGATGATAAATTTACAACTACGACGAGCGCAGGAGCATTGGAGGGATCTATAATTTCAACATCAAAAGCGTGGCTCATTCATCAGGGCCGGCGTCCCTCAGTTAGAAGGCTAGAGAATATACTACGCCATGTTCAACATAATTAGAATGTGAATGTGGATATGAATCACTTGGAGTACGAGATCATTATATCTTCATACTCGTAGAATCGGACCAAGTGAAGAGGTGTCAGTTCTACTGCGGCTCTGAAGATGATCTTGTCCGGGTAGCATCTAGCCGAGCCTGGAGCACGTATGAATACGTACTGCCGAATCCGGAGGCGGGTGAGGGATGGATGAATCAGCTCTGAGCCGGGGAGTGGCAGGCCAAGTCCGGCTAAGCAGCGATTTCGGTGGTTAAAGGCCCGGGCGGAGATTTCTCCGTTGTAGGGAGGGGGGGAAAGACTGGCTAGATGAGTAACCGCGGGAAAAAAAAAAAGCAAGCGGTTAAAATCGGCTGGGCGGAAGAGGACAGCCGTACAGTAGGAATGTAGTTGTCAATTGAAAGATGCAACGGGATCACAATAGTACAGTACCTTTCTTAAGTTCCATTCAGCAAGGGAGAGAACATGAGCGAGTACTCAGTAGCTTGAATCAGACACTTCTCCTCCTGTCTGTCAAGCAATAGAAGCAGGAAACAGATTAGGTTAGGGAGAGGTGGAAAATCATGGTAGTATTGCCGAGACCCATGAAGCGCATATGATGCGACGACTCATACCTCTCTCTCCCTCTCTCTCTCTTCCGGGGAAGTTTGCCCAGAGTCCGGCTTCGGCGATAGCCAGGGGAGGTAATCAACGGTGGGCGGAAAGGGAAGTGATGGAGAAATGAATGACTGAACAGTCACAGTCACCAAATGCCGGGGAAGGGCAAAAGGGTTTTTCCTGCTGGGATAAGAGCTGT